AATGGATACAGGAAGTGTTGAGTGTTTATTAAGCGTAATGCAGCAACTTTAACAGGGCAAGCAGGAGCCGAACCAAATGTGGCTACGTTATCGCCTGTACTGACAAACTATAGCTGGCTAGCTGCCTTGCTAACACAGCAAACAGACGTGATAAGCATGAATGACATGACGGTGGTAGTTATGTTGAAAAGGCAAAGTGATGGGCTCAGTGTTCATTAACTTTCTAGGAATGTATTTCACACACTAGTTAGCAACGTACTGTGAAGACACCACTTCACTCTGCACCTCATAATGGCAACCTGTAATGGCAACCGCCCACTAAAGGGTTGACAATGCTGCTGTCTTTTCAATTTATCAGAATGGCTCATAATGGCAAGTGTCAAACATCAATCTGGTTTAAGCGTGTAAACTGGACCAGTTCTACGTAGCGTTTTATCTCCTATGAGATCATTGTTTTGGTTTTACGACCCACAGCTGAACTGTTTTGGTTCGCTCTCACCGCTCTCGTCAGCGGCAGGGAGCTGTTTTCAGTGAAAAAGCTCTAATAAACCTGCTGTAGGTGACCTACGCAGCACCCAACGGCAGATAGACAAAAGACTAGCTAGCATTTAGCAGCTAGATACTTTTGTATTTTGTTCAGGAGTTGGTGGAGAGTAAATAAGAAACCTAAAATATGGACTTATATTTGCCAGGTCGTCTGAAACAAAACTCCAAATGAATGCTAATGTTGCTCGGCCTTCTGGATGTGTAACTGTTCACCATATAAACTGCTATGCTGAACCAGAAGAAGATCTTTCTGTTAAACGTTTAGTGATCCATTTGTTTCAAACCTACGTGTTTTGCTGTCTAAATCACGCTAACTTGAATCTACAGTAGCTAGCATTGCTAGCATTGGAGCACACTTGTTTAGTATTGTTAACACATAAAACATAAAACAAATTCATTCAGCTTTATTTCCACTCCACTTTTTTCCCCGTGGTCCCTCGCAGTGTTTCTTCATCCCCCAATTTCTATTAGAACCAGGATGTTTTCTTTGAGGAAAAGGATGCAGGAGGAAAGTTAAGGAAAGTTACTGCCGTCAAAAATAGTCAATGAATAATTAAACATTTTATAAATAACTTGAAAACAGTGGTTGCTTTATTCATGCTAGATAAGTGGCATTTTGCTGGTATGATATTTACATTAGCAGGGTTGAACATTGTAGTCTGGAATGAAAACACAGCAGTTTAAGAACAGTGAACCCATTGAGCATTGTCCACATCCTGTTTGTGAGGCCCTCAGAGGTTCCCATGAAGGAAAGGTCACTGTCATGTTTGGCTCTGATCCAGTACAACCAGACACTCTCTCCAACCCCTGTGAGCTCCAAAACAATTAGATCATTATACAGTACAAATCTGGATGGAAGGCAAATAATTGTTATGCTAATTTCTGCATCTGAAGCTACAGAACTGAAACATTTAAGACAAAAAACACCTTTTTCGTGGGACTTTTTTCAGAATCATCTGCCTTTCCCTCATCGAGTAACCCAATAACCAGCCCTTTTTAAAGGATAAAAAAATTAGTAATTGTTTCTGAAAAGATAATTTTGCCTCTCAGTCTTGGCTCGCACAGTTTTGGGCCTGTGTGAAAAGTGTCGACTCGAGAACCAAAGTCTCTTGGCGAACTCCTGTAAGTAATGTGATAATGACAGTCATGATGAGGCACATGATGTAACGGCATATTTCAAAGCAGTTGCTGGGATGAAATAAGGCCAGTACTGGGCTGGAGCTAGGCCAGCCGCTCCACCAGAGCAGTCTGTTGGGCATAGATCGAAGATTACCACATAATCTATTTGCATTAGTTCCATCAGTGCTGTCAGAGCGTCGCCACACCTTTCAGATGACAACTGCAAAGCATTTTCCAGACCTGCTGCATTTTCCAGACCTGCTGCAGTTAGCTGAAGTGTGTGTGTGTGTGTGTGTGTGTGTGTGTGTGTGTGTGTGTGTGTGTGTGTGTGTGTGTGTGTGTGTGTGTGTGTGTGTGTGTGTGTGTCTGTGTCTGTGTGTCTGTGTGTGTGTGTGTCTTCTTCCCTTCATTGAAAAGCCATAAGTGCTTGGCTGCCAAAATAAGAAGTTCAAGAACACCAAAAGCGGAGAGGATATGACTTTATGACTCATGTATGTCCTCCATGAGTCTGTCTGGTTACTGTACAGCTGTAGTAATAACAAAAAGATCGGATAAGATACATTTCATTGCAGCTGTATACTCAGATACTGCAACAATAAAGAACACTTTATCTTTTAACCTAACTGACCAAACAGGACTAAAATAAATGCCTGCACTGAACCTTTTTTGTTTCACATACAGACATTAGGAGCTTTGGATGGATCTGACCTTTACATACCGTAGTCACATGACAGATACAGAGTTCAAGGCTTCAAAGGATCAAAGAGGAAGTGCGCTGATTTTACATATCAGAGTATACAAAGTTAATATGTTTTGGTATGGTATGCATGTATGTGAAAAGAGCCTTTTGTGGCTCCAGAGGGAGCTGCACAAATTCTGATAACCTGTGTGATGTCACTAACCTGTGTGATGTCACAGGAGCTGAGCACTACAGATTTAAAAATGAAAGAAATCTGGGGGTGTGGAGTTAGAAAGGAGGGAGCTTACCAGATCTCTGTAGCCTGCTCCTAATCTCTGCTTGGGGCCAGAGCCTTAAAGCTATGTCAGCTGCTACTAGCGTAACACACCCAAAACTCTGACTAATGTATTTATAGTTAAGTTGCATTGTGGGTAATGTAGGCACTAGGTTCGGACAAGGAAGAAGAGTGTGTGGAATACAAAAGGTGATATCTCTGGTTCTGCTGCATTGATCATAAGTTTACTCTTTTAAGATTACTTTTGCAAAAGAATTATGGTTATTAATCAATCCGTCGATTATTTTTCCAAATTTCCCAGAACCAAGGTGACGTCTTCAGATTGCTTCTTTTGTTCAACCAACAGTCAAAAGATATTCAGTGTACAGTAATATGAGACAGAGAAAAGCATCAGACCTTCACATTTGAAAATGTTTTTTTTGGATAAATTTTTATATTATATTATTATATTTTATTCAGAGAAAACCACAAAGTGCTGTACTGCTGTACAGTTTATACATATCAGTGCATGTATGAAGCAGAGTTTGCATCGTCTACCAAAAAAACTAATTCCACCTGCACCATGCTGGCTGTACATGCAAAGATAAATGTATTATATAATTTACATCTGCAGCCACTCAGCATGCTGTTTAGGAGAAAAATATAGAAAATTCAAAATAAAACCCATTACGTAATATTTCAAAAAGCTGAGTTGTGCAGTGCAGAGTTGTATGTGCTGGTTCAGACGCTGGGCGGGGTCTGACTGGGAGCCTTTGCAGAGCAGCAGTTGTGCTCGGGGCCAGAGCTGCTGGCCGGTCAGCAGCTAGCGGCAGCGGCTCGAACAGAGCAGCCTTTGTTAGAAGGGGATGCTGGAGTCCTTGTGACCAGAACTGCCACTCCCTCTTTGGACAGAGGACCCGGGGTGACTCGAGGGAGGGATGTGGGGGTGAGGGGCTCCGGGTGTGAAGCCCCCCCTCCCCCTTCACAGAGACAAGTGGCACAGCAGGCATGGATGATTGATTACACAGTCTGTGCTCTGATTGGCCCTCTCTCATGTCATCACTGTGACAGCTCAGCCACACGAGGAGGACAGAGGGGTGTGTCTGGAGGCGGGCTCCTGTCTTTATTGTTGCAGCAGTGAATACCTCCCCTCACTTTGTTGTTCCGGCAGATTAAAGCAGCAGAGAGAGGAGCAGTGATGAACATTTACTGTTTCTGTGGCTGAGGTTGCTCCCCTCTCTGAACGAGAGCGCCCAGAAGTTTCTTCTTCTTTTTGACCTAAAGAGAAATGTCAGATTCACTTATTTTGCATCTGTTAGTCCCATATAATACTCCAAGCAACCATGCATATTTACATTTTTGTATGTACTGAAGAGCCGCACTACTAATAAACCACCATTATTTAGTTTATATTAGAGGGTCATTCAGGTTAATACAGTATTTTTTGTCACACTTAACAAACCACTCAAGACCTTAAACAAAAAACATTTTTTTATTACGTTTAATATGGTCATGGACTAAAAGATATACTGCTCTGAACAAAATAAAATGGTAAACTGCAGTCACAGTATTAAAAGTGTTTTTACTGTCAATACTGCTCAGCAGAAGCCCGCCCGTCTTGCAATGTAATTTAGCCATATATCAAGCTACGGCAGTGTTTATGGAATGCACTTATTTTTGATTGGATGAAAAAAAACAAAAAAACCCCCCTAGGTTTTAACTTCTGTCCTCCCATTCTCTCTCCTCCATCTTCTCTCTCTGCACCTTTTGTTTTTTAAATCAGTCCCTATTCCCCCCCTCCCCTCCCCAATTATAAACAGTGTCATTGTTAAAGAATCCACACAGAAACCTGGTGCCGATCCAAACCTCACAGTTCTCTGTTCTTTGTGTCATCGCCTGTTTCACCCTCCATCCATGTATTAGCATATTAAGTGTGTGTGTGTGTGTGTGTGTGTGTGTGTGTGTGTGTGTGTGTGTGTGTGTGTGTGTGTGTGTGTGTGTGTGTGTGTGTGTGGAAGAAAAGCCTGTATCAGTTGAAAGACAGAGCGCAGCCATGTGTTTCTTATCAGAATTCATCCTAAAAAGGCCAACCACAGGCTGCAGTGTAAATCCAGCAGGTTCGGATTATTTATTTTTTGTTTGCGAGCACCAGTCCGCTCTTTCATGCGACATTTCCCAAAATGTACTTAATCCTGCATCCGATCGAGCCAAATCGGATACTCGCCCTCACAAGCATCTTTTTATAGTCGTCTATAAAACCCCAGAAGCGTGTTCAGATCTGCAGCGACCGGTTCCCACAGTTTAACTCCAGCTTCTCCTGTTGAAATATTTCTTTAAATGTAGTTAAATGCACAGCAACTTATCATCTTTATTGTTTTCCAGAGCGACCGTCTCCTGATCAAAGGAGGGAAGATCGTGAACGATGACCAGTCCTTCTGTGCTGACATCTATATGGAGGATGGAGTCATCAAGTGAGTGCACCAGTTTATCTTCAAGCTGCTGACGGTTTAATAAGACCACAGATTTCATCATGTTTACAAAGTTATAATCTATGAGTGTCTCTGATTTTTCTCTCTTTTTATTACAATACGAACATAAAACATACAAAAAGGAGTAACAGTGAAAATACAATAGTTTGCCTACATTGACTTGGAATTTGTTTAGGCATCTAAGTAAGTGCACAAACAAAAAGTCTCACATTATGGTCTGTTTAGTAGCTGTTCTGGAGCTTTCCATCATCTCACGTGATCTTCCTCAGCACAGGGAGTTTGCCCAGTTGTTGTGGAAATCATCTTCCATTTGTTTCCATTTCTGAGCCCTTTAAGGACTTCATGTTTGCTTAATAAATGGACGCTGAGGTTCGACTGTTTTGTTCCAAAGTCAAGAATAAACCTCAACAGTGTAGGCAATCACTCCCAACACAGCCCGCCAGTGGAAAACAAACAATAACACACACACAGAGGATTATCTACAGACTGAAAAGTTATAGACTGAAGCTACCGGTTACTGTGCCAACCCTTTCTACAATTCAGAACCGATTTGGCATCAAAAGCAATATCAGACAAAATAAATGACAATATTTCTAATATATCAATGTCAGCATACCGTTCTGATCTGATTCTGATTGTTCATTGACATTTGAATAAAAAAAACGTTTCACAGCGGTTCCATTTTTAAGCACAAATAAACTTAGACCCGCCCCCACACACCTCAGCACAAGGTTCTGCATTGCCGGATTGTGTGTGAATGCAGCTGAAGCGAACACTCACAGTCAAACGGACACACTGACCTGCAGCTCTTAAAACATCCACGACACAGACAGAGAGGCAGAGGAGAGAGACGGAGACAGTGATGTAACCTGGTCGCTAAGTTTTTATAGAGTCCCGCCCTCACACCCTGCAAACCGTAAAGGTTAACGCCCAGAAACGTCCTGAACACAGTAAAATAAAGAGAAAATACAAGCAGAGGGTCTCTGCAGACGCACACTGCTGGTAGATCATAAGTGATGATTCAGAGGGATTATTTTTGTAAAGTCTATATATATGGTTTTGTAGGAAAATCTTACTAAAGGCAAACTGAGTATTTTGAGCATTTGTTGTTGGCAGGTGTTGGACACTTCCAAGTTAAGATTTTTGGATGATTTGTACAGTTTTAGAATATACCAATTATAAGATATATATGCCTGAAATGATTATTCCTGGTTAAGTTAATAATAAATTAATGTTAATTTAACACAGTACAGCCTCTTAGTTTGTTTTTTGACATATTATATTGTTATTATTGCTATAGTATTGAGATGTCTGCGTGATAAGGTTTCATTAAATAACACTCTGTTTAATCTATATTCATCTTCTTACACATTGTTTTGTGATTTCTTATATTCTTCTGCAGACAAATTGGGGAAAATCTCATCGTACCCGGCGGGGTAAAAACCATCGATGCCCACGGGCGCATGTTGATGCCGGGCGGCATCGACGTGCACACACGTTTCCAGATGCCTGATCGAGGCATGACGTCTGCCGATGACTTCTACCAGGGCACCAAGGCCGCGCTGGCTGGAGGCACCACCATGATCAGTAAGTAATTCAGCAGCAAGATCGTGATTAAAGACTCATTTGAGTTAATAGTTAATCAGTTTATCAGTTTCCTTTTGAGTCCTTTCTGTGAGGGAATCAAAGCTGACTGTGGTGTTTGCAGTGTGTCTTTCCCTGCAGTGATTCTTCACTCACTGACTGGCTTTAATTGAAAATATCTTAATGAGACCAGGAGGGGTGCCAAGCCTGTTCATGGCCGAGCCAAAATATATAACTGTCCATCTGCTGTGAGGGGCTGTGAGGGGCTGCGAGGTGCTGCGATGTGCTGACTGCTGTTCAGCCTGAGCTAAGAAGTCAGACACTGCAGATTCAACATTGTTATTTTATGGATGCTTTTCTTTATATGTGTTAGGCTTCTCATTCTTGCAGTTCTGTTTTAATTAGTATAATGTTTCCTAGAGGTCTCAAGCCTGGTTTTTGCTGTGTGTGGTCGACTTGTTCTTCCTACGGTCCAAAGTCATGCTGGTCAGGTCAACTGGAAAAAACGCATGAATTAATTATTGGGTGTCAGTTTTGAGTATTCCTTTTTAAATAATTCAGTATGACTTTTATAACTGAAGATTGTTGAAGCTAAACCTGAATAAATTTGGTCAAATTGAAGGTGAAAGGATTTTGATTCAATGAGGTGATTTGCTTCTAGATTTGATTTTATCTGTACACTATGAATCCCCAGCCCTAACAGTGGCTTCATTTCATTGTATCTTATTTAAAAGATCCAAGGCTGTAAAGATAAAACAAGGTAATATATTATAAAAAAATAACAAAGCTAAATGAAGCTCTTCTCTCACTGGCCCTCCCTCTGCTGACTCAGCTGAACTCTCCTCCCCCTTGCAGCAGAACAAACACTCCCAGACGACTTGTGTGTCGTTGTCACCTCGGGCAAAATGCTGACTGCGGCAGAGTCAGACAGGTCTGGAACTGGGCATAATGTGTGGCAGCCTGGTGACTGGAATGTCAGTGGAGTGCACATCACAAGTGCGATGTGCACCAAAAATGGAAAGTGACAAGGACACAGTTTGAAATGCAGACAGAGACGAACCCTGAGAATATGGATTTGAATCAGATTTCAAACCACAGATGAATGTGTTTTAAATCTGATATAGATTAAAGCTCATGTTCCACGTGGTCCAGTCTAGATATGCTGGAAAACAGATGTGGGCTGCCAGTCTGAACAGAAGGACTGGGCTTGGATCACTCAAGTTTCACAGAGAGGCAGTTAGAAACACTTGTGACCATGAATTAGTTTGACATAATAAACTTTTATAAAGATATAAAATTAAACAAAAATGTTGATAATGGATTTTTTAGTCTGGTTTACTGGTGATAACATTTCACAGAATAAATAATAAATCATTTATTTAAAAGAAAAATACAAACAAATTGACTGAATTAAAAATAACTGTCATTTTCAGCCCTAACGTGAACGCACATTCTCTCCTGACTGTACTGAAGGACCCATTAAAGGTCCAGTGTGTAACATTTAGCAGGATCTATTGGCAGAAATGGATTATAATATTTATAGGTATGTTTTCATTAGCGTATAATCTATATTTAATATATGAATCAACAATGTTTTTGTTATCTTAGTATGAGCTGTTTGTATCCACGAATGGAGCGGGCCACCATGATGAACTGCAGTGTTTCTACAGTAGCCCAGAATGGACAAACCAAATGCTGGCTCTAGATAGGGCCTTTCGTGGCCACCGTAGTTTACTTTACATACTTGGAAGGCTGAGCTGTATTCAAGTGGTTGCATTCTGAAACTTCTCACTAGATGCCACTAAATCCTCTACACTGGTCCTTTAATCTGCTGTGTCCTCTGCATCAGTAGATGTGGGCCATTGTATTCACTCATATGTGTCTGAAGAGTAACATCTTGAACCCATATACTGTAATTATGTCTCTGTGTGGTGGAAATCATTAGCAGTGACAGGCGTCCTGTATCTGGTAACTTTCGAGTGGTCGCTTTACACAAACTTTGGAGCATATTCGGCCGCCTACAGTCGGTCTAGACACCACGTCATAATCATGGATAACAGGTAACATCACAGCAGAGTCAGTGTGTTTATGTTTGACTCTTTGTGTGTTTGTGTGTGTGTATCCAGTTGACCACGTGGTTCCCGAGCCTGGCGTCAGCCTCATCTCGGCCTTCGAGCAGTGGCGCGAATGGGCCGACAGCAAGTCCTGCTGCGACTACTCGCTGCACGTTGACATCACCGAGTGGCACAGGGGCATCCAGGAAGAGATGGAGGCACTCGTGAAGGATCACGGTATGACCATGCCCTGATGCAAAATCACATTCTTATTTGCTTTCATTTTTGACTCTTCACTGGTTAATTTTGAGATTTTGGGCTATTTTGCTTTGTTTTCTTTCAGACTGAAGAAATCACCCAAATACACATTTAAGTGTTTAATTTACTACACTTTGTAGATTTCTCTTAAATTCCCCAAAAGGTAGCATTAGATAATGCCTCATTTGCATATTTAAACAAAAAAAGTGTCTTATGTAAGTAATGAACTGGGTAAGTTTCCTGGTGATATCAGTTAGTTAAAATGTTTACCCTATTCAACTACAGTGTCTCCCCTTAATTCCCAGTCATGTAAACTGCACTGCAGCTCCTTAATCTTTAACAACCCAGTTTATTTCAAAGAATCCCATTGGGATGAGAGAGAAACGAGACTGAGCTCTGCTAGTTGCCTCTAGAACCCCACAATACCAAATAACGTTAGAAATGTGGCAAATCTCAGTTAGCAGGGACTGAATGCTTCACTGCTGCAGCCCAACTTTAGAATCTTGTCTCGAAAAAGTTTCGTACAGCTTTAAAACTGCTTTTGCAGCACACTGAGATCAACATTTGACTGCACCTTATTCAACCTCTTGTAGTAATCTGGATGTATTTTACAATTTGTCCTCTCTTAGCTCATTGTTATATTTTCTGTCAGGTTAAAGTGACTCTGTTATCACACTTTCACAATCAGAGTGATGTTTTGAATGTATTTGTTGTCTTTCAGTCTCCCCCTTCCCTCATTCACAATTTGACATCTTGTTTTTAGGTGTCAACTCTTTCCTCGTCTACTTGGCTTACAAGGATATTTTCCAGCTGACTGACGCTCAGGTGCGTTTCTTCTCTTCTCTTTTGTACTTTATCATGCCATGTATTGTTGGGAATAACAAGACAGCCTTTTTAGAGATGGCATGAATCAAATCGAATCAAATATAATATCTTACATTCTTCTTGTTCAGTTTGGATGAAACCAGGAGGTAGCTTGGCACACTGTGGCACTGTATTCTGCTGTTAACAATGACACTAATAAGATAATGACGTTGAGATGCAGTCTCTCCTACTCTAAATCCAATTACACTGGAATGATCTTTTAAAACGAAACTTGCTGCTGCACATAATTCCAAATGCACTAATGGCCATCAGTGTTATATGAGATATGAGAGGTGACAGCACGCAAATGAACACACAGACAAACATGATGCTGTTTACTGTAGAGGCAATATTTGTATTAGCCAAAATAATGACTGAATCATAACTTGTTTACTGTTACTGTCAGCAAGAATAGCAACTGTAGTAAAACAAGAAAAGTTTATATGTTATATCAGTCCGCCAAGATGTTCACCACATTATGTTTAAAGTGTTTTTTCTGGCAACACACTCTTTAGTGGCATTAAGTAATAGCTTGCACAGGCAGACAGAGAGATTGGTAGCTGCCTACAATAAGTCTGACATTATAATGTCATAGAAGTCACATCACAGCCTTGATTTTGGCTCCTGCCCTCATCCTACAGTGAGAGTCACAGTGTGAGTCTGTTTGTCTTGGCGAGGCGCACTGATTGTCTGTGTGTTACTCTTGGGAGAGTGAATGGATAATGAAAGCCCCGGCTCCGTCCAAGTCTCTCTGACTCATGTTTGAAATGAATTAATCCCACTTGAAAGCTGTTTTGAAACAGATCTGTGTTGGTCTTTGCACCTGTGTGAGGAATGCTTGCAGCCGCAGTGCAGCCAGAGTTTATCATTTTCTCTCCCGTGTCAAACTTTGATGCTCTTTATTGTTTCACATTTGGCAGCCGGGGAGGTGATGACTCATTCGACACGTCGGTTTTCCTTCAGTCCGTGAAGTTGCCGCGTTGCTTAATAAACAATCAGAGTATGGGAGACACCCATACTGTGTGAAAATCAGGGTCCAAGTTTCATTTCACCACAAAAATATGCAGTGACTAAAGTCTATCTACTGACTTGCTAAGTTATTAATTGAAATGTCAGTTTTCAAGGAAAATTGCCAAACCTTCCCAGGCTCCAGCTTCTCACATTTGAAGAATTTGCTGCTTTTCTCTGTTTTATAAGATTGCAGTGAATATCTTTGGGTTTCAGACTAATTGCTTTCACAAAACAAACCATTTCTTAGACATCACCTTGGCCTTGGAGAATAAATCGAAAAATATTAGTGATATTAATAATGAACAGCCTTACAGCTGATAACATTATTGAAACATATTTGTTATTAATGACATGAGCTCAACAAATGATTTCCTCCAGGAGAGTGTTTCAAAAACTTTTAATATAAACAAGTCTAAGAGTCCACAGCCATGCTCGTGGCTCTCTGAGACATACAGAGCTTTGAGCTGACGTCAGCATTCTAACATGCTCACAATGACGATGCTGACAATGATGTTGTGTAGACAGTATAATGTTTACTATGTGCACCATCTTAGTTTTGGCTATTAGCTTGCTACCATTTGCTAATAAGCACTAAACTGAAAGTATATCACCGAAGGAAGACATATTTAAGATTGGTAAAAAATACTCTTTTAAAGCCACCATGATCCACCACACATCATATGTCACCATTATCCTGCCCAAGATCACAGTGATTCACAGTATTATCCCAATAATCATCAAAATATATTTAGAACTCTTAAAATGGCACTAGTGGAATCACTTTACCTTACATTTCGTTCATTGGATCACAGATGGGACACCTCAGATAGGCACCACATCTCCGTCATTCTTAAGTCTGGAATTCATAGTATTTCCACACATCTGGTTTAACTTTTTTCTTTTGTGGGGCATACAATGGGTTTGTGGAGCCTTCAGCCATTTTGACAGTCTTAGGATTTTGAAATAAATGACTGGACAGATGGAGGCTCCTCCTTGTGACAATAGTGATTCAGGAAATCATATTGGACTGTACGTTAGCAGGCTAGAGAGCATTTTCAAGTCACTCGTGAGGATATTTGTGATTACCCCGTGTGTTTTTCACAGACGCCGCTATATTATATTTATGAACCCATCCCTACCATACATGCTTTCTCATAAAACAGCCAAGGACCATATTCTGTTGTCTATCTGTTAGATAGATTAAATATAGGCTTTTTTCAACTCATTCAGATAACCCACTGACTACAAGCACTCCTGAAATTGAAAGAAATTGACTTGTACATCACTGATCCATTTCAGAAACCAGAAGAAATACTGTGTTGTGGACATACAACAGAGCAAGATTTGTGTTGAAAGAAAGAAAGTGCATCAGAGATCCTAACTATGTCTTCCTCTTTGCTGCAGGTGTATGAGGTGTTCAGCGTGATCCGCGATCTGGGAGCCATCGCCCAGGTGCACGCTGAGAATGGAGACATTGTAGCTGAGGTACGACATTTCACTCCATACGAGCCGGGATCTGGACCTGAATGTACACGATTTTCTGCTGGGCGCTGGCCTTAATATTAGAATCAAATGGAAAATAAAGCCTTTGTGTGTTTCAAGGCAAACATGTGTCCACCTGCACATGTTTCAACATCTCACATTTTCGGGTGTGTGTGTGTGTGTGTGTGTGTGTGTGTGTGTGTGTGTGTGTGTGTGTGTGTGTGTGTGTGTGTGTGTGTGTGTGTGTGTGTGTGTGTGTGTGTGTGTGTGTGTGTGTGTGTGTGTGTGTGTGTGTTCATCTGTGTGTCCTTAATTGTGTGTGTTTAGGAGCAGCGCAGGATCCTGGAGCAGGGGATCACTGGGCCTGAAGGACATGTGTTGAGCCGTCCTGAGGAGGTAAGCCAGACTTTCTGCAGTGTGGACATTGATTGGCCTGTCGGGATTTCTGGTGAAAAGCTGGTTTGACTTTAGGAAGTGTGGAATCACTTTATCGCCGAGTTGTATTTGCAGAAATCTTTGTCACGCTGAGATGAGTCAGCCTCCACAGCTGTTGGTGTTACGCTGTTTGACAGTTTTACAGTGAAACCGTGGGTGTCTCACTGCCTTGGCAAATACTCAGACATCATCTTCAGTCTCACCTTCATATGTTTAGTTTGAGTTTTCCTGTTGGGATCCACAGAGTCAGATAAGAGCACATCCTTTACATAAGTCATTGTTACTCATGAACATCCAGATGTGCCAACAAAGTAGAGAATGACATTTGAAGTATGACTCATGGCAGCTGTGTTTATTGCTAAAACTTCTGTTTTTCTACTTCAGCTTTTACTTATTATTCCTAAGGCAAGGCTGAAATCTTCAGTCAGATATTGTTGGGGCAACTAGGTTGGGGGAATAGGTGGAACCCTCAAAATAAAAGAAATAAAAAGTCTGTACTAGTTCCTATTAGTATCCACATGCCCACACACCTGACACACAGTGTGTATATGAGCATGTTTTGTAAAAAATTGCCTCCCACGAGTGTGTGTGCATTTTGACCAACAGCACAGAGATAACTTGCTTGGATCATAGCGACACAGTTTAGTGGTAAATCATCTATAGACCCAGTTTACCTTCCAACCTGTTAAACTGACAAACACCCCACCAGATGTGCTCATCAGCGTCAGCAGTAACACGCTTGTTTCTATTCAACATGTGTTCATGATGCTGCAATTTCAACGGATCACTTTACCTGTGCAGAAGACCTATGAGTAGGCTGCACAGCTGTTCACTGCTGATTGAGATGTAAACCTGTGTGTGTGTGTGTGTGTGTGTCTAGTGTGTTTTAGAGTCAGTTTAACACTGAACAGTGAGGGGAGAAGATTAGCTTTCTTTTAGCTTTTGGAGGCGTTTGATGACTGCTTATTACAAATATTGGTGGGGACAGATTTCCATTTTTCTTCTACGGGTGGGATGTAACCCCCTGTCTCTGTGGTTGCCCTAAGGTAAAGGAAAAAACTTAAGGATTTCTCAGAGCCCTGCGGGAAGTTGCCATGGCGGTGCCGTTCCTGCTCAGGTTATAATCAAATCTTGACTGTTATTTTTTGTGAGATAGAGAATTGCTTCTAAAAACCTCAGACAAAAATCAAGAGAAAAAAATGCCAAAAGCAGAAAAAAGGAAGTTTGATCCAAAAGGAATTACAGACAAGATGAAGAATCCACTGTGTTCTCTGTTCTTGGAACATGTTGTTAGTGTTTGTCATTGAAAAGTCACAATCCTGCCATCTAATTTATCAAAGAAAGTTGCCAAGGTTCTTTTAAGTGGTTTACCTTATTTTGTTGCCATGGATGGAAAACAGATTTTACGGAAAATAAAGCATGAACACACTTAAAGGACGTTTTGGGAAATATGCTCCTTCGATGTCTTGCTGAGTGAGAAGATTAATATAACTCATATATACATATTTATACACATGTGCAGTAAATATGAAGCTAAAGCATACTGCCAGTTAGCTTAGCTTAGCATAAAGACTGGAATCATGGGGAAACAGCTAGCGTGGTTCTGTCTAAAGGTAACAAAATAAACCTACCAACACTTTATGTCTTAAGTACAAAAAACGAAGGGTTTCCAGTTCGTATGCTAAGCTAAGCTAACTGTACAAAATGAGAGTGGGATCAATTCTCTCTCTTTTCTATACATTCTTTTTCTTTGGGCAAGAAAGCAAATAGGCACACTGCCCAAAATGAGTTACTATTCCTCAGTGTAAACCTTCTCTGTTAGGATTATAGAATATAAAAATAAAGAATATATAAATATATATATATATATATATATATATATATATTGATTTGATTTGTTGTGTGTGTCTAATTCTCAACTCGCCTTCTTATTTTAACATTTTTTTGCCTATAAGCCCCTCCCCAAAGTTTTAACTCTTGGTATGCTCATGTGATATTTGGAAACAAGGATTTATTACACAGGACTGAGTGAGCAGAAAGGTAATATTGGTAGGAAAATGATATAGTAAGAAAAGAATGAAGTAGGGGTTCCCATTGTGGAAGAAGAAAGAGTTAGAAACATGTTATTCCTCCACTTTCAGTTGTCCCTCAATTGGTCACCAGTGAAAACTTCTCTCTTCTCCAGGTGGAGGCGGAGGCTGTAAACCGCTCTGTGACGGTGGCCAATCAGACCAACTGCCCTCTCTATGTCACCAAGGTGATGAGCAAGAGTGCTGCTGATGTCATTGCTCAGGCCAGGAAGAAGGGTGAGACTCTAAATAATCATTTCATCTTGCACTAATTAAATCGACATCTCTCATCTCACAGTTTGTCGCCATTTTAATGTTTCTTTTCCAGAACTATAAACCACAGAGATAAAATATAAAACAAAAGCTTAGGCCACTCCACTAACATCAACATACATACTTAATTTGCACAATTATATTTAGGTTACTACTTACTTCCACTGCTACAGTCCACATGACATGCATGAAATAAACTCCTGGAGCATAGTATCTGGTCTTATAATGGAATTGGACTTTCAGGCACTGTGGTCTATGGAGAGCCAATCACTGCAAGCCTGGGAACAGATGGTTCTCACTATTGGAGCAAGAACTGGGCCAAAGCCGCTGCCTACGTCACCTCACCTCCCCTGAGCCCCGACCCGACCACACCAGACTATCTCAACTCCCTGCTGTCCTGGTGAGAGGATGATCCAATCATTCCAACTGGGCATACAGTGGGAAATAATAGAATGAAAATATTGGACAAACTTCGTTTTCTGTACCATTAACACAATGTCCCTTCTCTCCTTGACCTTCTGTGTAGTGGTGACCTGCAGGTGACAGGAAGTGCACACTGTCCCTTCAACACTGCCCAGCGTGCTGTAGGCAAAGATGACTTCAGCTTGATTCCTGAAGGTGTCAATGGCACTGAGGAGAGGATGTCTATCATCTGGGACAAGTGTGTGGTACGTATATTTCTACGAGCTAGGGGTGGAAAATATGGATATGAATATGAATATGAATATGAATCTTCACGACTCAGTTTTAGATAAAATATCATGGCAACTGGATGGATGAATGAATTGATATTGAAGGTCAATAGAGGATCAAATACTTGCAAAATGAATGATATTTTGTCTGCCTCAGCTCTACTGTACTTAGTGCTGATAAAATATTAGCATTCTAACATGTTAAACTGAGATGGTGAACCTGGTGAATATTACTTGCTAAACATCAGCATGTTAGCATTGTCACTATGAGCTGCTAGCATGCCTATAGATGAAAGAGTATAGCAACTTGACAACACACATGCACCAATAACACAGCAAGGCATGCAAAAGAGAGGAAAAAATGGAACAAAAACCATGCATTATTAACCACACATTAAAGTCCACACTGAGCAAGAATGATGGAATATCCATGCAAGGAAAGGGATGGCACAGAGACGATCAGGACAAGCGGGACCAAATGAAAGTAAAACAGCGACCCCTGTACTGTTCTCACTCTCAGCTCTGATTTGTTGCAGGTGACGGGTAAGATGGACGAAAACCAGTTTGTGGCAGTGACCAGCACCAACGCCGCCAAGATCTACAACCTGTACCCGCGTAAGGGTCGTATCGCTGTGGGTTCTGACGCTGACCTGGTGCTGTGGGACCCAGACTTCACGAAGATCATCTCTGCCAAGAGCCACAACTCGGTACGAACTTTACACACTGAGACTGAGGCCTCTTAACATCAAATGTTAAAGCTACTGTGTGTATATATTTTTTATGTGATTGCCGTCTGCCACAATGTGTTCTTCATACCACCAGGGGGCCGACGACATAGTCGCTTTAAATTTTAAAATTCACGTTACTATTGTTGTAAATGCAGACAGTAATAGCTCTAGGAACGGATGAGTAGCTGAAATGAAAATGATACTAATTTATTTAGCAACATTGCTTCAGAGATGCAGCTCAAAGTGCTTCACAAAACAGGATTTGAATGAGAAAACAAGGTTGAGCAAATAATGATTAAGAATTCTAAAAGACTTGAAAGAGGTAAATAAAATAGGCTGGTTGTTGAAAAAAACGTAACAAAAAAATGCATATGATTTTGTAAAATTTCAAGTTGATTTACATTAGAAATGGGTGGAGAAAATACTGCACTGGCACACATGTTTTACTTGTTTTAAGGAAATAAAACCTCAATTACAAACAAACATTACTTTATGGCTTTGTGTACAGGGCAATTTCATATTAAAACTGGACAAACATCACATTATTGTGTGTGCAGCATTATGATTTCAGTTTATTTAAACTAACGGACCCAAACCATGAATAACAGCCCTGGACCACAAGGTACCGAAGTAGAAGTACAAAAGTATGTGAGCAGGGGTGTCCACACAGGGTAACATGGAAGCCACAAATCTAAAATTACTCACAATTAAAAAGTGTTATTCACTTTCTTAAAAATACCAAGCGCACTAGTGATTCTACACATCTTAGATTCATACAAAAACACACCTACTATGCAACAATGATTAACAGCATGCAACTGGTTTATTAGTCCACTTTTTGCTGTATGGCCGTGACTGTTGAACAGGGTGTGGGCCTCACACAGTGTCAAGGGAGTGATGTCATCCTTAGAATCTGCCAGAGAACTGGAACACATCGTTTCTGATTGTTAGCAGACAGATCACTGTGGATCTGTCTGTGTGTGTGTGTGTGTGTGTGTGTGTGTGTGTGTGTGTGTGTGAAAGAAAGACAGTGTATGTTCTTGGAATCCGTCTGCATAAGCCTGTCATGTTCTTTGGTTTCCTTTTATTCCGCTTAGTCAGAAAATGACTGACTTACGTTCATGGGAGAAACTGCTCATTTGGAGTGTGTGTGTGTGTGTGTGTGTGTGTGTGTGTGTGTGTGTGTGTGTGTGTGTGTGTGTGTGTGTGTGTGTGTGTGTGTGTGTGTGTGTGTGTGTGTGTGTGTGTGTGTGTGTGTGTGTGTGTGTCACAGGATAGCCCAGCCTACTGGTGATCTCATTTCAGGCTCTCAGAGTCCACCAGATTGCCATGACCTCAGCTCCAGTAGCTTTTAGGAGAGAGCAGTCATCCAGCTTCCAAATTCGTCACACAGCAACCTCCCCAACCTCCTTCTCCACACACGCACACCCTAACACCCGCTCCACCCATATGACCCCTGCTTCTGCTCCTTCCTTTTGGCCTGAGAACTGAGGCCTCTGTGCCATATCGGTTGGTTTTCCCCCAACGATTAGCTTTGCTGTCTTTATTAGTATTAGAAGCCAGCGGGAACGCTTTTAACTAAATCAGTTAAGCTCCTTTCACAAGTGCACTTTAATCCATAAACATTCTGCCAATTTTACATGGTGGCATCATGTGTGAACACAAACTGGTCCATCAACATCACTCTGGCAATTTTTCAGATAAAGAGTGAGTGAGATTTTCATAAATCTGCAACGTAAAGCTGCAACACTCCCAGACACAGCTACAGGGAGGTTACATCATCCTTATGATAGGGGAAAATCAGCTGGAGAGGTTGAATTACAACATCTCCGCTTTGAAGGTATTCCTGTGATGATTTAATGTATGTATATTCGTATTAAGAGATACAAGCAGCTGTAATAAAACATCACAGGAACACAGCTGGCAGCGGTCAGACAGGAACTTCAACCTCGGGTCTAAAACCTCCAACTGAAAATCACCAGACAATTTGATCTTTAACACAGGTCATAACTACAGTACCATTTAGTTGCATAATGTTGCAAAATCTCCCAAGAGTGTAAAATAATAATATAACTTCTGGAGTAAATTCTGATACTTCAGGCCAAAAACTGTGTTTTGGTGCTGCTTTCATTTATCTGATTCTCAAAGTCTCTCATCAGCATAAAATATGGATGTTTTACACATGTTACTTTTTCAGGCTATTTGAAAATGATAGAACATTTGATGTGAATAATCCCATTCATGATTAATGATAGACTGCAGATGTGTAGACTTAAGATTCACCTAAAAAATACAAACTGCATTTTATTGAAATGTTGCAGGTGTCAACTATAATAGCTCATTACAGAGCAATAAGTTGGTGGAATTGGCAGCTATTATAGGTTACAACAGCCTTCAAACAAGTGAAAATTAATTAAGTAGGACCTGGAATAGTTGACAAAAGCAAAGCATGAACATCGATAACAACACATAATAAGCACAAGTGCTTATTTTTCTTGTAAGAAGCAGAGCTACTCATATGCTGACCGGTAGGGCGATACCATGATTTCATGAGTAAGATAAGCCTCACAGAAACAGCTGGCGGGATGCTGGCACCCCCCTGGGACTGATAAGGTAGAATGAGAACATTTTTGGCGTGTTGTGACGAAATCCATAATTTAAGCAGTCTGCTTGAGAACTCAGAACACTCCTATATTGTGCTGTACTCCTTTTCCAACTCACTACTTACTGTTTCCTGCAGTGCTGCCACCCACGGTGACTATAAAATGTTTATCAGGAGAGGTACATGGAATTTACTGTGTGTGAGAACTTTGTTTGAACTCAAAACTATGACTTACTTAGATCATTTGATCTTACCAGTGAGTGAAAGGGTTTTTAGTCAGTCCCATGAATCCAACGCTCATAAACAATAAACAGAAATCTGAGCATTATGATTAAATCTAAGATGCCTCTCATGTATCATGTGACCTGATCATATGTGTACCTAAGTAACCCATGTAAACTGAATTTACTCACCTTTTTGTTATGAAATGATGAATAATGAGTCACAATGTGCTGGTTTTTGTATTAGGGCTGTGTATGTTTGACATCCATGTGTCCAAAAAATGGACCTTTTTCCATTTACTTTTCATACCATTGCTGTCCTCTACAGACTGTGGAGTACAACATCTTTGAAGGCACAGAGGTGCGCGGCGGGCCTCTGGTGGTGATCAGCCAGGGCAAGATCGTCTTGGAGGAAGGGAACCTCCACACCACCGAGGGCTCGGGACGCTACGTGGCCCGAAAACCTTTCCCTGACTACGTCTACAAGAGGATAAAAGCACGGAGCAGGGTACGATACTGCTTTTCAAACCCTGTCTAGTGAGGCTGTGGTTGTTGTTGTTGGAGGAAGGAGCAGGCATAGAGTCAGTCAAACATAAAGGTGGCTTCACACACGCAGCAATTTTTTATAATGACTGATGATTGTTTTGTGGAAATGCTGGAGGGAGGATGCAGCTTGTTACAGATTAGCCCAAAATGTGCCTGCACCCCTCTTAGGGGATGGAATATTTCCTTGTTTGTTTTCACTGAACCATGACCATCGTGCTTTTTTCCTGAAAATGTAGCTGGCTGAGCTGAGGGGTGTACCCAGAGGACTGTATGACGGTCCGGTCTGCGAGGTGTCAGTCACACCTAAAACCATGACTCCTGCTTCCTCTGCCAAGACCTCACCTGCCAAGCAACCCAACCAGCCCGTCCGTAACCTGCATCAGTCTGGATTCAGCCTATCTGGTTAGTCCTTAATCATTGTTCCTTTCTCACTACTCTTTTATTACTTAATTGTGATGACACATTGAAAGAAATGCTTCAACGTTGGGAGGGGGATTTAACTTTTTCCCTCCATACCCAGAATCAAACAAAAATAGAGGAAAACATTACAAAGCATGAAATATTCAGCATTGGAGAAGGTGTGCGCTGCTTCTTGATGCCATAAACATCGATCAGTTGAGCCAAGGTACGCTAAGGTCACCATTCAGCATATCTTCAAACTGCACGCAGATACATAAAGAGCGGCATTCATGAGATGTGTCAAAGGGCACGGCCACATCAGAATTTATGAGTGAAATTTTGCACCAAATTGAATCCATTTGAACAGAGTCACCGCAAACAGATAGATTATCTCACGGCATAGTAACGTGATATCCATGCAGAGTTCAGCTTAGGTGAACGTTGACACAGAATTCATATGTTTAGCCTTTGCAAACAGTTTTTACCTGAATGCTGGACTACTGGATACCGGGGATGCCACCCACTCATTCTAATAAAGGATGCATACTCCTGATTTGCTTTTGTCTGCTCCCATATTGTGCAGCCCACTGCACATGTTAGTGTTTCTTTTCCTGGTTCCACCTGTTTGGTGCTTGTCAGTGCTTTCCAAAGTCCTGGACATTTCTTCTGTAAGTGCGGTCCATGTGGAACATATTTTTTGTGCTGCAGTGGATTATTTTATGACATTTTTTATTGCAGTACTTGGCCACTAGGAAAAAATTGACAGCATCCTCATGCAGAATCCATGAACAGTCACTTGACCAGCGGGGTTAGCTGAGCTAGCACTACTGCTAATGAGCTAATCTGTTATTACAGATTTTATGACCACATTGGTTGTGGGTTTACATTTTTTTTACAATTTCAGTAGGAACTGATGATTGAAAATGGTTTTTGTAGTCTTACAATACAACTGCAATACAGAATTTCGAAAGTAACTTGACATTGAAAAAGTTGTGTTTTTTTAAATCTGATAAACGATAAATTCTGTTTGCGTAAATATTCTTTAAGTGCATCTTGTCATATTTTGGAGGGAGGTTACCTTGTTTCCTTTATAATCATTACGAATACATTTGAATTTTTTTGTATTCATTACATTCAACCCTCTGATAATGTACTGCTTTGTCAGAAGTACCAAATAGACTAATAGCCTACTAGATAGACCTACAAGTTGATAAGCTAGCAGAGATTCTGAAAATGAGCCTTTGTCTATCATGTGACCCTTGCCTAATAAAAATAATAATAAATTACCCCCCAAAAACTGTTTACGTTTTATTTCTGCAGAGTATAAATACAACGTTGATTAACCAACTTTCCATTCTCACTCACAGGCGCTCAGGTTGACGACAACATTCCTCGCCGGAACACCCAGCGCATCGTGGCGCCACCAGGTGGCAGGGCCAACATCACCAGCCTGGGTTAGAGCTCCGCCCTCGGCCGCCGAGGAGGAAATGAAGATCTGAGGAAGGACGGCTGACAGGAGCTTCGGGGTAGAGAAAACCACGTCACGACACCCTGAGCCGAACCCTTCACAGCACCTGACCGGGCCATCCGTCAGCCTCGATCTTTCACCTCCTCCTTTGCCGCTTTTCCCACGTACCCACTCTCCTCCCCCCCAAACCCTGATCCTAGAGGACACAGTTAGAAACAAAAACAAAAAAAGGTCTGCCTCATATGATGAAAAAAAGAGAAAAAAATGAAAACACTCCTTATTTGAGCACTTTTGACTGCATTATTTTGTTTTTTTATATCGTACTTTCCCTGCCATGTATCCTTTTGATGTTTGTTTTACTGTTGTTTTAATAGAGGGGTCAAGTGAGACTAAACTGAATTGGTACAATTGAGAAAAGATAATTTTCATGCCGGATGTCCATTGTATCTTCATTTTGGGAGTAGTTCAAATAGAGCATGGGTACAAAACCAGTATTGTTATTCTTGCTTTTCTTAAATAGGCCAAAAAAGTAGGTTGATTTGAAATTGAACAGTCTTACAGTTTATTCAGCCGACAAGAATCTAATACTTCCTTCAAGCTGTTGACTATCTGTGATTTATATTAGGTTGCATTTCAGTTGGGTCACTGTCCATTGCATCGCCATCTGTCAAACTGATACTGTCAATATCTAATTGAGTTTTCGCCATGAGGACGGCCTTAAAATTTGAAAAATGTAACAATCTTTTATTGGGTTGTAGACTCTCCCTGCACTGGCTCTCGTCTCATGTTTTCCCACCTGTGGCTTTGCTGAGGTTACATAAGTAAAAAAAAAAACATAGTCCATATTTGGCAGCTGCCTTACAGCTTGTGAGTCTTGTGGAGCAGAAGGAACTTTGGCAGGTAGTAAATAGGGCTTTATGCCTCATCTCTGAGCATTAGGCCATCGTTAAGTGGGAGAATTGAAGAGAGGATTGAGGGAGGAAAGAGAAAGTTGTACTCGCTGTCACTTCAAACTAAACCTTTCCTTGCCTTATTGTCTCTTAATGCCGTCCTTTTTAGAGAAGTTTTAAGACGTGCAGGGAAGGTGCCATTCACTACGCAGCTACATATTTTCCAGCTTGTTTGCATTCCTGTGAATCATAAAGGTCCAAAGTTCTGATGGACAGCTGTTGAAGCACCTGATGACCGTCCATCACCAACCAGTGCATTTACATACAGAATGTTTCTCCTCCAAATGTGACTGTTTTATACTCATCAGAATCCCTCTTTCCTTTCTACTCTTTATGTGCCTGAACCCGCAAAAGTTGTACTGATAGTTTGAATTTTTCTCGTTTTGTTATTCTTATTGAGGTAAGTGAAGGATGTAAGATAAAAAGATGTAAAATAGCCAGGATTAACCGATTCAAAGGTGCCAGATTTTGCGCTTTCGTAGGGCCTATTCTGTCGGTAGAGCCCCTGTAAAGACGAAAAATGCTCGATATCTTGAAATGTTCTAATGTTTTAGAGTTTTTAACTTGTTGTCAAACTGCTTTTTAGTGTCATTCTGTAACTAGGTGCCTAAGGGCTGAGCACTATTGATTTACGCTTGAAAGTAGACATGAGCTAATGTACTTCTGACTAGTGTGCAGTGTTGATATGTGAGGGATGGGACACGCACAGCAGGCTCCTGTACAGCACTCCTCACTGTTGTGAATGTGACGTTGCTCCGGGCTGTGCTGAGCGCTCAAAAGTTCTTGTTCCTTTTTTTTTTTTTTTTTTGCATGATCTGGTTTTCATTAAGCCAAGCAACTGTTTTCCTGTGTTAGCTCTTGTGTCAATGAAAGCCTTGGTCACCAGTCACCATCTTCCTGCAGCCTTTTTCTTCCCCCGTGACTCGACACGGAGCAACAAGCTCACGCTGACATAGCCAGGGGCCAGTTACATAAATGTAGATTAAGACTAGATTAAATCTCGTCTATGCTGGTCTTAAATTCCTTTAGTCTGCTGACGACTGCTGCATAGACCTACTTGTCGCTATAGCAACACCTGAAAGATAGCTTTAGCTTTAGTTAGCTATTGGACACAAGTCAGTGTCACAAGTCTTTGGTTTGTCATTTGATGAAGTCATTTGAAGTCTGGCTTAAAAGTACGGACTTAAATTTGAATTAGTCTTTATGCAACCGGTCCCTGACTCACTCACACCTATACATACATACATACATACATACATACATACATACATACATACATACATACATACATACACAATGTAGATATACACACTGACACCACCTCTGTGTTTGTGCTTTCAACCCCAGTTCCTTATATCTGACTGGAAGCCTATAGAAGGCAAAGTCTGTCAGCGTTACGAATGGTGTATGTATTTAAAGAATCCAAAGCAGGGGGATGAAGCAAATGCATGTCCCTGAAGCGTTCAAAGATTAGACAAGATAGGAATGGGAAATGGAAACTTGATCTCCACGGCAACCTACACATCACACAACAACGTTTTTGTAAGTCAGGAGTGTGGAATTCTACCCCCTCAGACTAATTAACATTGTATTGATATTTGTAGCCTATTTGAGGTCCACTCTCTTCTTATAAACACACCACTATATTACTACACTACTACACTAAGGGATTGTGGGTGAAGATATGGGAGGTGAAATCCTCAAACATTATACAGTTTGGCTCTCGTGAGAGTAATAGTGTGCTTCTTGTATTTTTGTATTTTCCATGTCACTCCTTCCTTTCAGTTAGTCTCTGTCTGTATTTCTCCTCCTTTCATTCTCCCCTTCCTTTCATTCTCCCTCCCTGGCTCTTTCGTTGTTTCTGGCTGTTGCCGTGGCGACAGACCCCTCCACTCTCATGGGTTTCTGCTTTTTGTTTGTCATGGCAACGCTTGTCAGATTGGAGGTTGCCATTGGCAACCCGTCCTGACCTGGTGCTATTAGAACAGCTTTGCGCCTGCACACACACACACACACACACACACACACACACACACACACACACACACACACACACACACACACACACACACACGTTTTTATAATTATTCTGTGACAGTGCTTCACCATTTCTACATAATCCTGTGCTGAGTTGCGTGGAATCCAGAATCCTTTGCTGCTTAAAAAGAATCTATTAGAGTTGAAAGCACACTGCAGACTATAGTTGAAACACACACTCTCTCTCTTTCTCTCTCTCTCACTCACTCACTCACTCACTCACACACACACACACACACACACACACACACACACACACACACACACACACACACACACAGACACAGACACACACACCAAACAGCCGTTGCCATGATGCAGCACCCATGCTTGAAGAATTGACTTGGATATTAAAAACCAGCTGCCAACGCTGACACCCCTGCCGTGTCCCATGCCTCCTCGATTGACACACACTAAAACACACACCTATACTCCTTTAATGCTCTGTCAGCTTGGATGCTTTTCTATGCCATATTATGCTAATGATATATGAGTGATATGTATGTACGCAACGTGGTGCAGACTGAGAGGAGCTTCCTTCCCGTTCTGAGATTGTTGATGCTGTTGAACACCTTCTTGCCCCTGAACCCTTTCGTCCCCCTCTGTAAGCCTTTCCCCTTTGTGAAAGTGAAACTGTGTGATGGTATTTGTCTTGGTGGCAGTGGGGTTTCTGGGATGCTTGCTCACTATGGAAAAGTGTCAATCCCATAGATGGTGATGTAAAAAAAACAAAAAAAAAAACAACAACAACGAGGACTTCAAAGAATTAAAAAAAAAGGAAAAAGAAATAAAATCTCTGTTTCTTTTGTTTCCGACTTTTACGCTTCATGTTACTGTCTGTAAGTCATTAAATAGAGACACAAAAGGAGACGAGCACACAGACAAAACAGAAAAAAACATTACAACTACATTAGCAAGAGGATTTGCAGTGAACTACAAAAAACAAAAATGGGTTTGCCTGTAGATGGTAGCAAACAGGAGACAAACAAGATGACTGGAATGATAGGTTGGCCCAGCGGTCCAAGGTACATGATATCCAATTTGGACCACTTATGTGCTGAAGGAAATGCATTGAAGCGTAGAGTTTAGAGGTGCTCAGTACATGTACAAACAAAACCAACTGCGCCCTCAACTGAAACGAGTTTACTGAATCATCATTGTTACTGACAGAATCAGTAGTTTTTTCACTTTGTATTGTCAGCTCAGCTTTGATGCAGCATTTAACTTCAAGGTTGAAAGTCTACTGAAAGTCACAGAAACAATCATGATAGGATAACACTGTAGCAGATAGGTGGTTGCAAAACTAACCTTATAAGTAATGCTTACATAGGCCTAAAGCTGCAGTAGTTCACATTTCTTTATAAAAATGTTATTAGGTGCACTAGGACAAGCCAGAGGAACCACAGACAGATCTGTCTCATGTACTTCACTGGAGGATATAATGAGCATTTGAGCAAATATGACTAAAAGTAGTTTTTTAAAAAAGTTGCCTACTGCAGCTTTAAGGCCTTAGCATGCCTCAAACTAACTAGGCTTATGTTGTCTGATATAAAGGCAGCTCTAGTAAGAGTAGAGACTCTATTAGTCTTGACACAATGAATCGTACAAATGCCAATAACTCAGTGTTCAGTTTCAGAAAACCCTGCCTTCTTTCACACCACTGCACACTTGGCCTGTTGCTGTATAAAACAAGAGGGGTTTTCAGACTAAGTGCTTGTTAAACAATACAACAAGCTCTTGGTTTGAAGCATCACTTTTGCAGTGAACTGAATGAATCGATTTAAACCACCAATAGACAACTTACTACAGGACTGATGACTGTGAGAAACAGCGCTGTAGATGGAGATACGAACACCTCGATTAGACAAACTACACAGTTCAGTACTAACAAATCTTTTAATTGAATGTGATTGGTAACTTCCACCTCTAGCGGAGTTGGCAGGATGCTAGCTGACTGTCATCTAGTCTTGAACCCAACAAGGCCAACTGAGACCTGGTAAGCCTAAATTGCATGTAGGTGTCAAAGTGTTTGCTTTTCCGTCTGTTACCCCTGTGATAGACCAGGGTGCACCCACCTTTATGCTCAGTGCATCCTGGGATAATCTCCAGCTGGACAGGATAACCAGGTCACAAATAATGGGTCATTTTAACCAACACACTTCAGTGGGGTGGAAACATTGACTTCTTGGTTCTGCATGCAGTAAATCACTACTAGGATGCATTAAATGTTTCTACACTAGGTGGCAGTGGTGTCATTTTGTTCACTCACCACTCCTTCCTTCCTCTGCTACTGTCTTCTGGGATTTCATTATCATTTCATAGACATAGTGAGATGGTCTGTGGCACATGTTCTGCTGCTCTTATTGTAAATATTGTAGTGCATTAACTGACTAAATAATAAAATACATGAATCCATTACAGTAATATTCATGTTAGATTGATCCAAACTTATCCAGAAGTAAGAAGGTGGTAGACAGCTGTCAACCTGCCAGGTCTGTCCCCAGGAGCATTAAAGTTAAAATTTCCTGCGCTGTAATGAATCAAAACGATTTTCAACATAAAAGCGTTCTTTGACTTCAGAGGCACTTTCATGTGCCTCCCTCAGAGGCACTTGAAAAACCGAGAAAGGATGATAAAATATGCACTGAATGAATAAACTGTTTGAGATTCAATGAAAAGTACAATTTGTATTTTCTCATTTAGCAAAGGTTTGGGTTTAATCTTGCAGTTTAGAAGGAAAGTGGTGAAAGGCCAAACTCCAGTTCACTTGTAATTTCATTCAGAGAGATCAGACATATTTCTCATCAGTGAAAGGATTAAATATAATATAATGCTTATTATGGCACTTATCAGGTGTGTTCTCCGCCCACAGGTAGATTTTCACAAAGAGCATCTACAGTAACTGAATGTGTGTTTGTGTTAGCTACAGTGAATGGCCATGGTGTTCCTTCTTGTGTACAGTAATGCCACACAGAGCCCTCTAGTGGACGCTTGATGTATGTCAAGTCATGGATCTCACAGTATGCACAAGTCGTTTTCCCCATCTATCATCTTAATGGCTTCCACAGAAGAACAGAAGACTCTAGCATGGCCCCCCATCCACCATTTCTCCTATGAATATGAATTACATTTATAGGGAACTGTAGTTAGGCTACTTAGTTCATTGGGTTAAGGTCATGGGAAGATTGTCGTCATGCTTAAAGTGCTAGTCCACCCAGAATCTATGGTTGGAGTATGAAAATGTGTAGCTTGGTCATTGGTGAAGATGCTGTCAGCTTACATTTGTGGTCATTACAACAGATTCCAACACATAAAAATCTACTTGAACCACTCAAGCAGTATGATCCACGTCTTTATCTGCTCAGCATGCTCCAAACATGAGTGTAGGACAGGACGAGTTACAAAGAGTTATACTCTTAAATTAAATATTCTCCTTTGCTTTACAAAAACAAATTTTGTCAGGACAATAAATAAATAAATAAACTGTGAAGTCAATTGCTGCTCTTTGACTTTGTAGGGCACATGGGATCAAACAAACTGCTTTGCAGTGTTTATGAAATTAATTAGATTCTCACATTTTCAATGAATTAATAAATAAAAATCAAGGTTAAGCTTTTAAATGTTTACAGACCTGATAACAGATGTACCTGAGAAACATTTCAACAATTAAATCAAGCCTCCATCATTGTCTTTTACACGTAACCTTAAGATTTTGTGGGCCCTTAACATTGTTTTGTTTATCCCACTGTGGATGAGGGCTTGTTAGTTTGGGAATGTTTGATTCTTTTCCTTTCTGATTTTTGTAGCTTTGAAAAGGTCTGTATGCTTTGCTAATTATTTTCACCCAATGCCATGGTTGACAAAGTCACTACCGTATTGTTCATTCTCACACTCATTGTTCATTCAAGTGGAACACTTCAGCTGTCCCAATTCTGTGCACAATACAAGACGAAATGAGACCACTGACCAGACAGGTGTACTGACCTTTACGAGCTCAGTCTGGCCTTTTCGAGTCCCAACATGGCTTGTGCTTGTTTGCTGCCTGAAGTCAATCTGTAGCTACAATGCAGACCACAGAATCATTTTTACCTCCAAAAGCAATTATGAAAGGACCATCGGTTTGCTGCTGAAGAAACCCAACACCTACAAGTCCATCACTCAGCTCAGTTACTGTGAAATAATGTTATTTAAAAACTGACAGCCACAGAATAATAAAAAAAGGAGAGATATTTTATGCCCAGGTGCTTTGTGATAGCTGAAATGTAAAAGATGTTTTGATCAAGTCAAGAAGAACTTGAACGCACCAGGAAAGAGAACTCAATGTGCCAGATGGCAGCTGACTGCTTTAAAAACAAATGTTCAGTGACATGAGTATTAAATGCATCTTATATGGCTCCTTCCCGCATGCTTTAAGTCTTTTCTAATTAATTTGTATTCACTGGCTGTCAACATTCAAATCAGTTATTTCAAGTCAATGCACACACACAATGAGCTTTAATAACTCCAAATGCCAGAAAAGGTGTTCGGAAGAGGTCAATTATTTGAATAATTTATACAGTGAATGTGTGGAGTCATTCAAATATTTGTGCGTGTGTGTTGTGTGTGTGTGTGTGTGTGTGTGTGTGTGTGTGTGTGTGTGTGTGTGTGTGTGTTGTATTGTGTGCTTTAATTTTCTCAGATGTAATACAGAAATGGGAGAAAGAAACAGCTTCATTTTCTTGAGCTTCTGAAACGAAATCACGCCCCGCTGAAATTATTGATCAGAAAACTGTTTGTATTCCTGTTCAGTCACTGTTTGGTTCTGCACCGAGCCTGCAGCGTCTGCTTCACCATCAATGCAACAGCTGCAGGATTTGTTCTTTAAGATTTTCAAGTACCTGCACACAATTTTAGTTCTGACGGATTACACCTCGGCTCAGGTTGAAATTCGGAGGAGCTGTGCTTTGAGTAACATGAGGTCACCAAACTCAGCATACCAATTAGAGTCAGGTAAAGTGAAAACACCTGTGTAGGTGTTACTTTTCTTTTTTATTTCTGCTTTTTCCTTTAAATAAACTGGTTTCTGTCAGAATCAAATTAACGCACAGTATCATGGAGCGAGGAATAAGATTGCAACTGTGAATGTTTTGTGGTGAATGTTTGGATAAACTATGGGAGCACTGACATAAAGAAATGTTAATATTCATTTCTCTGTAGCTTTAAAGCTGCATATTTGAGTTTTTGTTAATAGCAGAAGTTCAAACCAAGCTAATGGACACACAGTTGGCTTAAGCAAACAATTTACTAATTCAGCAGACACCATCATTAGCATTCAGTTGGAGTGATGTTTCTGTCCACCTGATGAATGTAAGTCCCAATTCAGCCTTTTAGCTCTGTTTTTGTCTTCACCAACTTCTGATAATGAAATAAATGGCTCTTTAGCTGCTAAATGTTCTGCTTTCTCCATCAGCTAGTTGCTAACTGTCTTTTTGGTGCTGGACAGACAGGGTACAGTGGGTTTATCTGAAATAGTATACTGAAAACAGCTGCCTGCTGCTGCTGCTGGAAACACGGCTGATGAGAGATTCATGGCTGAAAATACGTATAAAATTCCTACAGACGCTTAATTACTTGCTTAAGAGTTATTCTTACAATTTTGTATGCATGCTGCTGTCCAATCCATCCAACTTAGTCTGCTCTATAGCATAAACATTTGAAAATTGTTTGGCCTTTGCCCAAACCTTTATACGCTCTCGGAACAAATAATTCAGGAGCTATAACCAGGTCCAATTTAATTTCCGCTGGCAGACAATAATTCGTCACCTCCAGTGTTATAACATATCATCTTAATGTTCAGTGAGACAGAAAATAATTCAAATAAACAGCATGGTAGGAAATTTTGGCCACTTTAACAGCAACACTTGTGCCAGGAGTTGCATTTGCAAGTAGGCTTCTCCATTTAGCACAATTGCACAAACGTCAGTGCGTACACCTGCCCTATGATGGTACACCTGACAACATTTTCGCACATGAGAGAGTTTAATTAAGTACTCAAGCAGTGGGCGGATTTGGTGTAGTGACAAAGCTTTTCCATAACTTTTCCACACACTCCTACAAGCTAGCAATGCAATGGCAATGCTTCTGAGAGTGTCAGGATAAGTTCAAACTGATGAAGAACCCCAACTCAAGGAGACTCTCAGAAGAAGTTTCAGGGAAATCTTCTGGTTTGACACATAACAAAATACAGATTTTCCTCACTGCAAATAATGAGGCCTCTTTGACTCCCTGATACAGTTACACTTCTTGTCATCTGCTTTATTTGCTGCTCAACAGTTGTTATTCATCATGATCGCCATTTGTAATGAAACATCACTTTGCTAAGTCAACTGATTAGGTTAAACAGCGCACACTTGTCTATGGGAGCCCAGATCCATTTATTACAAGTGTTTGCCTTCATGTGACAGCTGCTGCAACACTGTTTGAATCCTGTGCTGCTTTTAGAAAATGAAAGCCGCATGTTTAATAGGAATCTGATGAATTTATTTCCATAAATAATATCTAAACTGATGGAAGCAGACATAACACCGCTTCACTGCTCTTCACACACACAAACACAGACATGAAAAACTACCCAAATTGCACTCAAACAAATTATACAGGTGTACACAAACTTCGGCAAGGATGTGCACACACATACACACAGTCACACTCACACACACACACGAAGCAAGCAGTGGTTTGGTTATTCTCCTCAGTGTCTGATATTGTGATATGAATCATTTGTTTTCTGGTTTACTGTTTTCCTTTTGTCTTTGCAGCGTCTGCTGTGTGAAGCTGTGAATTCTAGCAAAACAGGGAAATGCAAGGATGGATTGTGTACGTTGGTTTCACATTAAAACATGAGAAACAGTCAGTGGAGATGAAAAGTAATTTTCTGTGTTTATACTTGCAGAATGAAAAAGACATTATGAAGGTTTAAAAGAATATGTGACAATGTAATAATAGGTCCAAGTGTGAAATATCATTGTCTTTCCTAAAATATATATATTTTTTTCACATTTAGTCATGCCTCTTTAATGAAAAGTCAACACTTCTGCTTCTGCTATCTGTTGCCTAATGCAGTGTAACATTGAGTCCTTGGCTGCATAACCTCAGAGAACGAGAGCTGCATGTTTATTAGTTATGTGAGACAGTTTAGAGGCCACAATAATGTGGGAGCTTAAGGAGTTGACAAGAGTTTTAACATGGACATTATCCTCCTGAACGGTCACATAATGCCACTGTTTAAGTACCAATCAATGCAGAATGAAGGAAACTCTTCTTATTGCCTAACCTTAGGCGACTGTAAAATGACAAATCATTTGTCTTCTGGAAATTCTGTCAACATGCTGCGTTTCTCAGATAAGCATGCTCAGGTATTCATCACTGTTATGGTGTCTGTTGGGTAGAAAAATGCCTTTAATCCGAGCACAGCAAAGAAAAACAACTGTGTTCGTAACAGGAGGAAGCCAAGGATTAATAGCTAAGAAGAAAAACTTCTTAAAAAAGATAAGGCTCCCGAAACATGTTTGTTAAAGCTATTAGTCAATGTTCATGACATATTTTTTAATGAAACATGCACATTATCTTGACACCATACCACATAATGTTTGTTTATGAATTTGTGTGATATTGTGGGCTTTGTTTTGCTAATTAATTAACTCACTTAATTTAAATAAAGACTGAAGACATCATTCATAAAGTATAGTGCAATCCAATAGGCACCCTGTAATCAGAACTACCCTTTAGAAAGCTCAGTTTTTGTTGTGACTGTTCAGATAGATTTTAATTCATTGAGGGTCTCCGGTGTTAATGAGGGTCCACTTGTGTGTTGGCATATGTCTTGCTAATCTTGCGGCGTTTTGTTAAAGGTTACAGTAATATATTTTTGTAACGTCTTTTGCAGCGGGGATTTAATTAATTCAAACTTAATTACCTTTTTATAATGTCACATTTTTTATTTTGTCCACCTCCTGTACCTCAAACAGGTGGTGGTTTGTGAACTGAATACCAACAGGCCCACAGTAATGTCCTTTCACCCCAAGTCAACAAAGGAAGAACTCATTTCTAGCCTTGGAAACAAAGAAAGTAAGACTTACAGCTCCATTAATCAACATTTCTTAAATTGAGTATGTTTAATGTGAAAGGGGTCACTCGTATCCACAAACTCTGCAACGCTACAGTGGTTTTTGGTTTCTTTTAATTCATTATTTTGGTCTTACAGCACTGATAAAATTAGACACAAAGACACAAAGTGTAAAATCTGGAAGCTGAAGAGCCAGATATTTCCCTCAGGAGCTGGTGGAGATCCAACAAGAGCTAAAAGCATAATGAATGTTGGACACAAACACAACTTAACTGAGATTATAATGCTGCTCTGCGTCTGCTGGATCTGCTGATCACCTTCATTTGGAGTTTGTCTACCTCCTAGGAGCCAAAAATCTGACTGCAGCATTAAAGACAACATACAGTTACAGATGAACAAAGATGTCAAGACAGGCACTGCTTGAATTACTCATGCGTCACTTTCAAACAATCAGACAATTATGTAATTTTCCAGTGTTTGAGTGGAGAGGCTCTGGAGACCTGTACTGGCAGAAAACCAGTGACAAAAAGTCCTTCACCAACACTGAGAGAGAGAAAAACACCTTTTCATTTATTTAACAACAGCAGAAGCTTTGATGTCAAACATTAAAAGCTGATTCAACAAATCTTAGATACAGCCTCAACAAAAACAAAAACTGAACATTAAAAGCTTCAGAGGGGTAGAATGAAAGCTTTTCTTTGAGACTGCACTGTAAAGCAATGACTTATTTTAACTCAAAAATATTGTTGAAAAGGATTAAATCCAAACATTTAAGTAACACAAACTCAATTTTGTAAGTTAAAAAACATTCTTGATTAAGTACGTTTTACTACATATTTTGTTGTCACAGTACAAATAAAAATTACTGCTTCTTGAAATTACTAAAGCTACTTGATCAAAAAACTTACAAAATTGAGTTAGTTTTACTTAATATTACTACTATTTTCGATGTAATCACTTTCAACAATTTAGGGAGTTAAATGAACTTATCTGGTTTTACAGTGTCTGTATCTCTTTCCCCAAACCATTCCTGATTTTTCTCTCTTTTGTGACAGCTATTTAGAAATCAAAGCTTGCCAGTGTCTAGTCCCTTTAAAACAGAGGTTGCACACATAATGCTCGCACTCCTACACCAGCTTCCGCTTTCTCAGAGCTGTCAGTGAATGCTAATTGTGCCGGGATTTATGAGTATGTTGCCCTTAGGGGCTTTTGTGCAATCTGCAGTAATACCTCTAATGTTTAAAGAAATCATGTCTCTGGAGTTCTTTTTTAATGTCATTTCAATAAGATGTTATTATATCTTTATTCCTTGCAAAGAACTGATGGTTCCCAGGTTACCTAGTGTCCACACTGTTTTTGCCTCACATTTGTTCCCCAAAGAGGTTTGTACTTTTTCCAAAACTCTCTAGCTGTGCGTTCACACTCTGCAGTCTCTGACATGTGGTTCTCTGTTCAAGAACAGCTCAGTAGTGGTCGTGAGTGTAGACAAAATATTATTCATTCACGTTCCCAGATCATATTTTATTTGACACTCAGGACATTTATACTGGCATAAAGCCCTAAGGCAACAGAGTTATCGTCTGCCTGCTCTAGGGGCGAGTCACTATTGGCTGGCCCTGCGCTCTGATGCCTCTGAGGAGCATAAATATACATGTAAAAGTTGCATGTAAGTGTTTTCCCCGAGGCAAACCCCAAGTACAGGATCAGATTCTCCTCAACTGCCTCAACGTGCCTATCAAACAGCCTCTCCTGTGACGCCAAGGGACAGGCATAAGACCTTGGTTGATCCGTGACCGGAGGGGTTCCGTGGTACCGGCGTTCGACTTGCTGAGAAACACCACGCCTTCAGCAGACTCTTGCTCTGGATTTGTGCACTTTGAGCCTGATCTGGAACACCGACAGACGAGGAAGAGGTTGGAAACGCCCTGCAGCAACACCATGAGGATATGGTGACACAGCTTTGGCCTGACATAACAGAGGTATTGGACGTGGGGCCTGGACTGGAGGAATGGCTGGTTATGTGTCCTTGCGGTTTGGCAGTCAGCGCCCCAGTTCTCAGGCAGCGACCACGGAGCACATTGTGGAAGGCTTTCTTGAACTCCCGGCTGAAGCATGGGTAAATAATGGGGTTAATGCAGCTGTTGAGGTAACCCAGCCAGAAGGTTATCTTAAAGATTGTTTCAGAAGGCTTACAGGATGGGAAGATGGATCCTAGAGAACACACACAAACAGACACAAATCAAAATATGAATGGAAATAGACACTTATACACCACTAACCAAGTCCCAGTTAGAAATAGAAAGCCCATATCCCCATCAAGGCTGAACATTGCTTTACATTTACATTATTTACGATATTAAATGAAATTTAAAGTCTAAACATGAGTGAGTGTAAGGAATTTTGTAAAGAAGATTTTTAATCATTTTTAAATGATTGAAAAAGGGCTGATTTGCCTTGAAACAAGAGAAAAAAATAGCCTCTTCTCCTCCTGGTTCAGGATTTAGGGATTATTACTGACAGAAATGATGACCAAAGCTACAAAAAGATATCCTTTATGCAAGATAATATAAGGTTTTTTATAAATGGATACTTAATGGTGCTATCCGCTCCAAAATCATATCAGTTGTTCTCCGGCACATGACGTGAAATGTCCACCAAATATTTCAATCTGTGGAGCAGTCTTTGAGACGTTCTGCAAACTAACAACCAAACATACAAGACTGAAAACAGCTGTTCAATTCCAGTTAAATGTCTGATTTTCATGTGCAAAAAAGTAGTTTTACCTCCACCAAGGAGGTTGTATTTTTGTTGCAGTTTGCTTGTCTGTCAGCAGGCCTGATTTTTTAAAACTTGGTGGAAAGGTGGAACGTGTAGGAAGGAAGGAAGAACCCATTAAGTTTTGGAGAAGAAAAGCTCATTAATTTTCCCTTTCATTATTACTGCAACATAGGTAAATTGTAACATCGGAGTCTACGGCAAAATAAACTGAATTCATTGCACTGGTGTGAAACCCGTCATATTTAAAGTGAATGGTGTGCTGTGTCTAAACATGCAACACAATCTAATAGCCATCTCAAACATCACTGTAGAAACAAACCACCCTGGCGGAGGTCTGCACTCTCCGAGTGACCTCGTCGTTATAAAAGCAGTTATTCACTGCAACTTTCTTTAAGGTGGCATTGACAAGCAGCAGTCACTTCATTTTATAAGCTTGGCAGGCATACTGTGTCGTGCTGCAGTGAAGGTGGCCTCCGAGCGCCACAGCACAAAACAGGTTTAAAGTGCTCAGGAAAAAATAAATAAATAAAAATTCTGTAGTGTTTCAAACCCTCTGTCTGGGAATCTCAGAATATCATTGCCTCAGAGCTTGAATGAGCGATGCGCTGTGAGCCGTGAAGGTCTGTCTCGATTGAAATGCAGAACTATTCTCCGATGACTGGCTGTCTTGGGAGGCTACAGGGTGACTGAGAATGCCTCCTAGCATTACAGCCCATTAAGCCTCATGCTTGTTATCTATAATAGCTTTCATAGGAGGGAGCAATACTTTGGTTCATTCCATTTCATCTCACAGCAGAAGCCTATTCTGCCCCAATGTGGTGTTTTATTTGGTCTATTTGGTTGCTTGTAATTGAATTTTTTGATGTCCCCTGTGAGAAACTCAAGCAGAAGAGGGAAAGCACAACGGTGAAGGAGGAAGGTCCTTGATGTGTTCATAGACCAATGTTTATCATCAAGCAGCATTATACAAATGATTCAGGAATCGACAGCTTTTGTATCACAATAGTTGGTGCTACAGTGCTAAACCACTGGAGGCTTGCAGTGAGATTTACATATTAAAGTCTGAGTCTGGATTTTTAGCCATGATAGCGGCACAGCTCTATGGGTGGCAATGTTGGCCAGGTGGCCCATCTGTCTGTCAGTCAGATGGTCATTTGGTTACTTTGGTCCAGACTGAAATATCTCAACAAAATATTGTACAGACAGACATTCTTGGTTCCATGAGGAGGAATCATACTGACTTTTGTGATCCCTTGAGCTTTCCTCTAGTGCCACCAAGAGTCCTGTTCCCCTGGCTGGGGTACGCAGTTTAAACATCCTCAGTGCAAAACCTTCCACCTCTCTTCTGCTGTCTGTTATCACTCTGCTAAGCCCGTCCCACCAAACCCACAAGCTGAATGGCATCAGATGGAGCGGTTGCCCTGCAAAAATCACACGCCTCGTAGGACTTGCTCTCCACAACATGAACCCCTACAAGACACCGGCCCCTCTCGCCATTACTTATCTTCTCAAAGACACCCCACCAGCAGACTCCATGGCCCCCGGGAAGAATGGCCCAGTATTCAGAGGCAGCTGGGACGCAGTCTAACAGCGGGATCAGAGGATGGTTCAGGCATTCTTTTCAACTGCCTCAGTAACACTCTGCTTTGGAGGTGAGGGGCAAAAAAACAGCTGAGACTTCTCCAGGAAGGGGGGTGGTGTTTATTAGACTGTCACACCAACAGGCAAAAGGAAATTGGTTCAATGTTCAGCTTTGTGCAAGCGAAAGCTACGCGGCCAGTACACCACACACGTACACACACCACTGTCCCCCCGAAGCTCCATGTAGAGCCAGGACGCATTCAGACACACGTTGTTTAGCAATATTATTAACATAAATAAGGGCTGCATGTAAAGATTTTTGTCAATATAATAAACAAATACCCATCACATTTCTGCACTGCACCAGGGAACACCAAGAAAGCTTTCTGCTAAACGACAAATTGATCAATAGACCCTTTTTGCAGCAGACATTTTGACTTATAGCAGGAAAATGTCACATTACTACTAACAGTAACATTGACTTCATTCTAATCAAGTGTCCCAGTAAACCATGGCACTGTGACAGTGAGATAGCGTGAACAATGCCAGGACCCTGAAACTAAAGCAGCAAAATGAAATTCAAACATAATTTATTTGATTGTTTACACCTTTGCTTTTCCTTTCAGTGCTAAAGTCAACAACCTCAGAAAAATAATAACCATGAAAGTGTATCCCTGACCTTGTAAAAAGTAATATCTTATCTTTTTCAACAAAAAATAAATGCCCTACAATTGATCTGGATGAGATCATGACTGCTACTAAACTTGCATATAAACCGATCCATCTCCATGACAACTTAGCGACGCTCCATCCGCTGATGAAAACTGGAGAATACAGCTAAAAGCTCTGGAAAAAGTGTCTGAGTTAGTATTGTTTTGTCCAACTATATGACAAATATAGATGTAGATGTAGTTATTGTGTAGTCTTGATCCCTGTATTAAAAGACCTGTTCATCTATTTAAGACTCCCAGTTTTTCCTAGAGCAGCCCTTTTGTTTACTGTTGGATTACACATTGGGCCTAGTTATGAATGTACACACTGGCAAATAAAAGAGAAAAAGATAACACATATTTGTCCAGATGATGTGTTTCATCCACGTCTCCTCCATCCTGTATAATATATTGTTCCCTCCCTCAATAAGATTACAGTTTGTGTAACCAAATACTGTACACGTTTCAGCAATAATCTCACCATCTGTGACCCAGGAGGTAACTGCTGACAGGCTGCTACCTTTAAACACACCCTATCCACACTGACATTCACTTATCTCAGTCAAGCTGTAAGAGTTATTTCAGAAGCAATTAAGATTTTAGATTAGGCTTCACAATAGTTGGTTTTCATCCTTTCTTATATAACATAACACCACTGCTATCTGCTGCTTTGACAGAATCTGAAAAAATGCAGGTATAATTTATTAAAGATAAAGTTGAGAATATCTGGCTTACAGGACATTTACCTTTTCCTGAGCTTCTGATATTGTTAACGTACCTTCATGTCTGCAGTGATGTTTGACTGCAACAGCAGAATAACCCTTAATTAGTTCACAATTTGAAATTAAGATTTTACATATTTATCAGAATAAAGCAGGCCTCTACAAGTATCAAAGAAATTGTTAATGCTCTCATTATGACGTCAATTATTTTCTGAATTATTTAAATCCTTTTTAGATTCAGAGAATATGTTATTTCCTTATTTCCTTGTACAGCAGATGAATCATTTTAAGGTGCTCTTTTTGTCATTTTCCTTCAGGCTTCACACCATCTCGTGCCTGTCATTATCTCACTTTCATTTCATTCAATTCATAAAGCAAGCGTAAACACTTGTTTTTCTGAAAGATGAATCTGTGGAAACCTTTCAAAAACCCAGAAGGTTATTTAACAACACTTACAGCTGCCATATAAACAATGTTTTTTTGCTGTTTCAAATGTTGCAACTCTTAAACCTCACCAGTTGGTGGCTTTTAGTGACACAATTACTTGATTGATTTGTACAACAAAATCTAAATTAACATCACAACCACCGCAAAACAAGAAGAAGTATTATTATTATTAGGTACATTTCTCTATATCTCTGATTTGTCTCTGGTTTGAAGTCTGTTGCACCTGTAACCACACCCACTAGTGATGTAATGGTGTACTCTTCTACATCACTAAAGAAGTCGCTGCAGGTCAGGTTCTTATGTATAAAAACTTCCCAGAGCTACAGCGAGTTCCATTTTACTGTTTAGCTCTCCATGCCACACAACTGTTTTAGTTCACTCTCACAGCTCTCATAGTGTCGTTTTCAGGTGTAGCAGGCAGCCCTTTTAAGAGAAATAGCTCTAAAAACCCACTGTACTCTACCTGCTACCAGCACCAAGCAGCAAGGAGACACAGTCAGCAACTAGCTGGTGAACACAGTGGAGCATTTAGCAGCTAAAGAGCCAAATATTCCCCTCAGGAGTTGGTGGAGATTCGACCAGAGCTTAAAGGACAGTGAATGTTGCACTTGCATTCATCGGGTCGATAAAAACCTAATTCAAATGGGATTATAATGTCCATAATCTGCTGTTTGTTTGTCAACTTAAAAGGTCATGATAATAAGTTGTTTCCGCTGTCCCCGAGTGCCCAAAGACATTGGCATAACAGGTTTAAGAATAAACTTGCAACTCTGGAAACAAGTTAACATTTTTATTGCCCTGCAGAGAGAATATTTGGATCCAGATGGACAGAAGAGTCTTTGAGGATTCTGTAAATACCTTGAAAACAACAGTAAGTGGTGTTAACCTTCTGGGTTTTTGACATTGATTTATCTTTCAGAGAAACAGACCATTCACTTTGTGACTTGAATAATAATAGTAATACATTATAAAGGCACACACTGGGGTTATGTGAAGTTAAAAACAAGGTTACCTACCGATGGGTAAAACCAGGAAAAAAGGGAGCCAGCACAGAATGAAGCACCCGACAACAATGCCAAGAGTCTTGGCTGCCTTCTCTTCTCTTGAGAACTTAAGCAGCCTTGGTAGGGAAAAGGTGGTATGTTTCTGCCTCGTGGGAACCTCATCCTCTTCCTGCTTCCCCGTCTGAGCAGCATTCCCTCTGTGTATCCTCAGCATCACCCCCTCTGTTGCAACCCCATCTACCTTACTGCCCTTCCTGTGGGTTTTTGTCTCTCTCTTGGCCACAGTATACACACGGCAGTACATGGCCAGGATGATGGCCAGAGGGATATAGAAAGATCCTAGTGCTGAGAACAAAGCATAGCCCGGCTCCTCTGTAATTCGGCACACAGTCTCATCCTCTGGGTCAGGCTCCTTCCAGCCAAACAGGGGGCCCACAGATATAGCTGCCGAGAGTCCCCAGAGAGCAGCCACCGCGGTCAGGCCTCGCCTCCCCGTAGCTATGGCAGGGTAGCGCAGAGGGTAGCTGACAGCCAGGTAGCGGTCGATAGAGATTACACACAGGCTGAGGATGGAGGCAGTGCAGCAGAGGACATCAAGGGCGGCCCAGACGCTGCAGAAAGACCGGCCAAACACCCATCTGCCAAGAGCCTCCGAGGTGGCGGAGAAGGGCAGCACGGCGGAGCTGAGCAGCAGGTCTGCTGCTGCCAGGTTGGCAATGAAGTAGTGTGTCACAGAGCGCCAGTGGTGGTGGAACAACACCGACAGGATAACCAAGATGTTGCCAAGAACTCCGAACACCACAAACACCACAAGCACCATCCCCAAAACCACCGCCTTGGCTACGTCTACCTCTGGGTGGGCGGAGGAGCTGCAGTTGGGACAGCGATCAGCCGCAGAGAAAACAGTCATGTTCTCAGTAGGAGTCATTGTAACCCGCTGGGTGTATTAAATTCTAGCAGATTGATAACACTCCTGCAACATCTGTTCCTCAATTACCACAGCTTTAATAACTCTTCCTTTTTTCTGCTTGTCCTAATGCAGAGGATAAAAGCTTCTACTGCTGCATAAACTGCTCTTCAAGTTAATTTGTAGATGCAGCGACTCTTGCCAACTCTCCACCGATCATGTGGCCTTGGCAGGGGTTACTTCGCAGAATTTAGAAAGACAAACACTGCCACAGTTTGTCATATTTAGTCCAGAATACCTTTTTACAAATATTCATGTTTTCAGTGTCAGTCACTGGTGGATTTAGGATGTCATGTTGAGCCATGCTGAAAGGCTTTATTGCAGGAGACCTGTTAAAAAAAGAAAAGAGATAAAGTGTATTTAACAACACATTCATAATCCGTGGCATTACAAAAAACCCAAACCAGGCTCATTACCTTATAAGTGCTGTTCTTACTTTGGAACAAATCAAAACGTCACACACAAAATAGAACACATTAAAGTTAAAAAAAAAAAATCATCACACAGCCCCCAGTCATGATTAAAGGGTAAAAATATCACTCAATAGTCTCTTTTTAGAGGACACGGTCTCTTTATTTGCAAATTATTTACCCTTCATTACAGATGCATTAGAGAAAACAGAGGTTATGCCTCAGTAAACTAAGTGGCATTCACAATTTCCTTTTTATCCAAAAAGCATTACGGCCTACTTGTCTTTTTGACTCTGCAAGCAAACAACTGACAACCATAAAACATCCCATTATTAATATCTGATTTCTGTTTAACCTTTATTTAACCAGGCAAATCGATCAATGAAAAGTATCTATTATCAGAGACTGCGATGGGGGCAAAAGAGCGCTTGAGCAGTAGGGGTGGCGAGGATTATAACAAAAAAGAAAAAATGAGATACAATCAAAAACAACAGGGGTAAAGACAAGGACACTGCAGCACCAATAATAATCCTTGATGGCAAAAAGAAAATCATCTGTGGCATTATGAGAAAACCAGGCAGCCATGCAAGGAATACAAAGATAAATGAAAGCAGACATTATTTTTATAGGAGCAGACATTCAGCCAGAGCCTGCGATGGCTTCCTTGAAGGTCTTGTGTCTGCAAGCCGGGCTCTAACTCAGCTACCGGATGACAGGCCAGGAATTGAACCTAGAGGAGGGGCACTATATTACCCTGGCGAAAGCTTCACCCGCTGATAGTCCCACTCAGTACCACTCTCTGTGTACGTGCTGGAGATCCGAGATGTCACTGAGTGAGATAAACGCCGGCGAAGAAAAAAAAGAATGAAAAAGCAGCCGCGATAAAGCCTTCGGAGAGCAGAGTCATGCTTGTCACATGTTCACGCAGGATCAAAGGCTTGTCGATGCCTGCACATCCCACCACGAGGCGGAACGAAATTCTCCCAAACAAACACTTGATGCTGGGATCAGTAGCCACAGGGGGAATCCAAATGAAATAGGCGGTGAATAGATGTCTCGGATTGTTTCAGCAGATGAGCTGAACGCAGTGATATTTGGAATACATTTTCAGTTGTAATGAGATTTCTCGGTGCGATGAAGTGCCTGCGCACACCTAAAAAGTTTATTTCCTTAGCCCACCTGTGTTTGAGGACTGTGACTGTGAGTGGCAAGCAGGAAATCGATGTAAATTATAAGGTAATACAGTGGAAACAATTCAACAAAGGTCAAAAGTGACACAGGGCAATGCAAGATATCATGCTGTATTCCCAAGTCCTGCACCACTACTCTGTGTCTCCAGGCAGTGCAATCTGTGGTGAAAGACACATCAGTCTTTCCTGAAGTCGAAAACCAGAGAAGCAAGTCCTGGGCAGCCATGTGACACGTTTATGTCTTGAAGCTGCTTGTCTGACACATTTTATTTGCATAGGCTTCCTGCCCTGAGGCTGAAAACATCAAGGATAAACTCCTCCACGTGCCTCTCCTCCTCATGTTTCATTCATGCATGTATTAGTATGGATGGGGCAGGGTGATAGCAGTGATGTGCCAAAATGATGACCTGGTGTATAATGTGTTAAATTACCTTTCAGTCTGTGCCATTATTGACTGGCTACCCTCCCTCCCTCCCTCCCTCCTTTTCCAGCGCCGACCCTGTGAGTTTTTTTTACCGTCTCTTATTCATAGTTTTCTTCCTGCGGGACAGGAGGATTATCAGACAGAATGGGAATGTTGTTGAGCTGCTAGTGTGTTGACAAAAGGGCATGGGCAGTCATGAGATACCAAAACAAATGCAAAAACAGACGCAGCATGTTCTTAGAGGAATTATCGTGCCTGTGCATTTCTGCAGATATGAAACTGAAGTAAAAACAAAAATCCTGTCCCTTTCCTGTTGATAGTGTTGATGTAGGAAAGTGAGCATCAATACAGTGTGTCAAGGCGTTTGATTCATCTTCCTTTTTGAGGCATTCAAAAGTGGAAGAATAATTAATTAAGTCATTTATCAAGAAAAAATACCAAATATTTGCTCATTCCAGCTTCTGATTTGCTGCTTTTATCTATTTTGTTGTTTACGACTATAAATGGAATACCTTGAGGTTTTGGACTGTTGGTCAGAAAAAAGAAGAAGATATTACCTCGGCGTCTGAGAATCTGTGATTAAAATACAATTCATTTACTCAATTCATTTGAAAAAAAATGAACAGAAAATGATGATCACTAGTTGCATCCCTGAGAGCATTTTCCGTCAGCTGACCGGCAGCTCATCCCAACAGTGAGGCTGCATGCATCTCTCATTCTCTGCAAGATATTTGATTAAAAGCTACCAGCGAACATCATTACACTCCAATTTACATCTATAATCCGAACGTGCACCGCTCATCTTATTGCATTAGTGGATCTCAAGGAAAGATTTGCCCTTGAAGAAACTTTCCCGTTAGCCTCATTGGTCTGAGTGGCCCTTACAGAATTGAAACAAGTCAACCAATTAAATCTATGATTGGACTCATAATGAAGGTTTTGTTTTAGGAGACAGAATATTTAGCGTGCATATTAAATGGCTTAATGTAGCCTGACCATGGGCATATTCAATCAGAAGAGCAGAATAGGATCATTAGGGTAATGTGCACAATATTAACACAAGTCTTCCTGACAACATTTCATCTGTGCAGGTCAGGAGGTCCTGTTCTTTTCAAAGCAGCTGTTTGTGATTAGTCTGTAATATATGGAAACTTCTCTGCATTGTATTACATATATCCTTATACGTACAGTCACATAGAAAAAAGAAAAAGAAAAGATTTAAGCTTAAGCACTTCGTCTAATCTTCTCACCTGTAACACATCTGATTTATTACTGTCTCTTGTGCACAAAGGCATGGGCTGCAACTAACTATTTCCATTCTTAATCTATCTCTCGAGTACTTGTGTAATGTATCCGTTTATCATTTGTCGAAATATAATGCCAGAAAATTATTTAAAATGGCCGTCACAAATTCCTAAAACACACGTAGACATCTTCAAATAGCTTGTTTTGTCTGATCAACAGCTCAGAATCTTCCCCAAAATGAATTTACAGTGATATAAAACCGATAAAAGCAGCAGATCCTCACATTTGAGAAGCTGGAACAGGAGACAGATGTCAAAATAGCTGAAATCACAATTTATGTTCTAATATTTTAAGTATTTCCACCACCACTAAGACAAATTCCTGTGTTTTAAATCTTGCCTAGAATAAGTCACATCAAAGTAAGATCCAATGTCCCTGAAGTACACACATGAATCTTCTCAACATGGTAATTTATTCTGCTGCCTGTGCAGACCACTGCAGAGTTTATTTGTTCCTACAAACACTGTAATATAACAGGTTCTGTCAGGTCTCTGGAGCAGTGCACTATCATGATGAATTACTGTACATATGAAGTCCATTTCTAAAAAGCTGCACTCTCTGGGGGAATCAGTCATTGCCTGAAGTTTATAATTCAAACCCTCCATGACATTAATCATTATGTTTTATCAACCTTGAACACTAGCCCCACACTGCCCTACAGAAAGGACAGTTAAGCGTTTTGTCTTGAGCTTTCTCACCTTCCTGGAGGGAATAAGAGGGTGCTGTATGCTCTGCAGATTGTAAAGCCTCTTGAGGACAATGTGTTATTTGTGACATGGGGCTATACAAATAAAACTGACTTTCATGCATCTGAAGAGGTTGTGTTGTTAGTGTCTGATGATAACGTTTAAATTTTCTAAGCCTTCAAACCATGAGCCCTTTCAGCCTCTTACAACTAACATCATTCCTCATTTTCTTTATAATCATAAAACATTTATATTTCCATTCCACAGCTGTGTTTTTAAATCAAGGAGGCCTACCTGTTGATGGGGATATAACAATATAATGTAAGTGAGACTGCAAAGCCTAACCTAAACCTATTGTTTTTCTCTTCATTATTGATATGAAACACTGCCCTTTACTATTATCATGTTTGAATACTTTTGAAATATGTAAGAACTAAACAAACACTCAACATTAGGCTGCAACAATTAGCATCACCAACTGATGGTGAAAATAAGGCAATTTTCACAATGTGTTCATCAGTAGCCAATTAAAAACAAAAAAACAACCATCACATTCTCCACCTGATTAAAAATAATCAGAAACAATCACAACGATTCATTATGTAAATCAGAAGTCACTCAGCCTGTGAAGTAATCTGTGGATTGATGAGGAAACCCAAAAAAAAAAGAGAGAGAGAGTCTTACCTTCTTCTGAGCGCACACATCTCACTGCACCAAGTTGTTTTTTGAAAAATTCTGCTCATTTTCTCTGTAAAGCAGCCATGCGTTATTGTGTCCGCCACAGAGGGAGAGCTGCCCTCCCTCCCGCAGTCCTCCTGCCTCCTCCGGTGAGAGAGAAAGTGGACCACCCGACCTGATCCTCTCAGGCCCCGCCCCCTGCCCGACCGGCTCATACCATTTAATTAGTGGTGTTGACGTGCCTTGCCCCCCCTCCCTCCCTCCCAAAGAGCCAACTGACTAAGCTGTTTTCACACTCTTCTGTACATTAATAATCACCAATAACTAAAGAAAACGTATTGTTGTCTGTAATCGAATGTTTGTAGACATACAGACAACAATACAATACAGCAGTGGATAATAATAGAAAAAGTAAACAAGACACAATATTTATACATACTGTATATTTTATTATTATTGGTTTATTTGTATTGGTATTATAACCATACAACAACCTTTCTCTAAGCTTAAATAACAAGAGAGCAGAAGAAATCAAAAATGAATGTCTGGATTTCCATTCATATTATATTTTTCACTGTATGTATTAATATCCCCCTGGAATGACTGCTATTAGTGTTGCTGTCAATACAAAATTTAATTGGTGCTCCAGAAATATCTAAATCGAATGGGCCACATATTTTATGACAGATTCATGCTCCCTTCTCCAGTTTAGACAAATTGATTTGAATAAACTCAAGAATATTCCTCTAGTGCAACTCTCAAGACAAACTATACTTTATACTTTAGCTGGAGTAGTGGTAAGGATCAAAGTGTGTGAACACCTGAGCCTTGCATATGATTGTTGAACAGGTCATTCCCAAACCATGGGCTTAAATCTGCTGCTGTTACAGTCTTCAGTCCTCGTTTAAGGCTTTCCTCCAGATTTTGGAAGCTGGCTGCAGGGATTTGTCCCCAGCCAAAAGAGCATTAGTGATGTCCACCACTGATATTGGCTGATAAGGTCTGGCTCACAGTTGTTCCAGTTCATCCCAAAGGTGTTGGATGGGGTTGAGCTCAGAGCTCTGTGTCTGCCAGTCACACCAAACTGGGAAAACCAGTTCTTTATCGACCTGTGTTTGTGCAACACGTTCTCACTCCAAACTTGTCAAATATTGGTCAGTGGCCAAGTTTTGGACATGCAGGGTTCCGTGGTCAAATTAGCAATAATAAATATGTAAGGTCAGGTTAGACTTTCAAAATAAAGCTTGCGTGGCAGGGGCATTCTAGGAGAGGGGGCCTGGGGTTGCACCTGCCATCACTGGAATCTGACCTTACCCCTTCCACTCTGCACTGTTTTTCAGAGGCTGTAGTGGGTTTAATGTTAAAGTCAGAGTGAAGATACTGGTATCATATAAAACTACATGACCTAATGCATCCAATGGTACCAACCATGTCATGCTAGCATATTCATTTTCCTTTAACCTCAGATATCTGAATGAGTAACCGCAAGTCTCCTCTTTGCATGCCCACCTCATGCTAATCACATGCAGTCTTTTGGTGTGAATGTGTTATTTTAGTGTTTGAATATTTCTGCAAACTGCGGTCCATAAACAGTGTTGGAATTACATAAAATGGTAATAACAGAAAGCTGAAATACATACTTCATGCCACCCCTGTCAAAAAAGTCGCCCCTTTTGCATGGTTAATGTTGCAGTTGCACTATGGTTAGTCTGAGCCACAGAAACTTATATTTGGGAGAAGATTGTGGTTTATGTTACCTACCTTTCATAACTTAAATAGCCCACATTACATAAGTTAACTTACATATGTAACTTAAATTAAGACAGCTTTGACTTTGGTTTCACCTTCATCAAAGTCCTGTGTGTGTTTGACCTGTTTATCTACCCCAACCTCCTCGATATGTGGACTTTGTACCTCTTTATACCTGAGTTACGCTAGATGGTAGCATCCAGAAATTACTCCAGATGGGTACTTAGAGCATCATAGTTCAAAGCATAGGGCCACCGACCAAGCGGCCATATCTGGTTTGTGCACAGGGGCATTGTCATGTTGAAACTTTAGAAGGCCAAACTAAAACTGTTTATTTACAGAGTATTTGGAAGACTTTTAGTCAATCACAAGATGAGCGATATGTGCTGCTCCAGGTGATGAAGGGGATGACTCGCCCCCGGTGGTGCCTTGCTTTGTAGAGGGATAACAGATCTACCGAGGCATGCCCTGAACTGCGTGGGAGGGGTCCAGTATATCACTAATACCTCAAGGATGACAAATAGGCTATTTTTTCTCTCGGGTTATTGTTTCAGGTTGAGTTATTTATGGATTCTGCAATGGCTCCATGACCTGACCACAGGTGTCTCAGATGCCGCTGAGGGCCCTTGCAGCATTGTTCACTTTCGGATTTTTTCCCACATCTGTCCCGAAATGCCAGGGTGATGCAGTCATCTTCAAACGATAGAGTTGTCTCATAAGTCTGCTGCTGCCGGGTGCATTGATTGAGTGTATGGATCTTTCTAGTCTCTGAGTTTATATTGCAATTTGCAGTGTTCACGTGGGGCTGTCTTTATATTGCCCTCACACTGCCCTCCTTCTTGTCCCCATCTGAGCATAGAGAAGTGTTTTGTTGCTTAGGTGGAATTTTAGGTGGAATTTACAAAAAGTGGGAATATTTTAAGCCTAAACATTGTTGCAAATGAACAACAGACAGGTTTGCTAGGTGTAGCACACAGTGTTGAGCTCATCAATATTTGGATCAATATGATGAGTGTTGGCTTCTGTCAGGAAACTGATTTTTTTAAAACTTTTTTTTGTTTTGTTTATTTCTGTCTTTCAGAGCAGAAACTGCCTATTTAGATTCATCTCACAGGTCCCACTGCCCACACAATGGAGAGAAACACAACTTGTCTGAATATTTGGTGATGCACCTGGCATTTTAAGATACTTTGCATGAGCTCAGAGTTGACTTGAGTTGAGCTGAGTGACTTCTGCCTGACTGCATGGTGTAAAAGCATGCACTTTATTTTGCCCAAGCTCTGCAGAGACTTTTGCATTCCATTATTTCAGTGATTCAAATGGAGGGATGTGTTGGTGTCAGCTGTTTTTTAGCATGCCAGCAGTGTGGCTCCATGAAGGGCAATGTCAGTCTGTCTGTCCTCCACTTTGGTTCAGGCTGAAATATCTTAACAAATGCTGCATGGATTCTATAAACTTTTGTACAGATCTGGTTCCCAGACAATGTATCACCACGATGATCCCAGGGCTATGCCTTTAGTGCCACCATGAGGTTAACTCTTTTATAGTGAAATTTCTAAACAATGGATGGCTATGAAGGTTCGTACAGACATTTATGTTCCCACCTGGATGATTGGTAATAACATTGGTCGTCCCCTGACTTTCAATCTAGTGCCATAATTTGTCCAATAATATAATAATAATACCAATTAGCAAATGTTAGCATGCTAACATGCTTTGCTAAAATAAGATAAGATAAAACAAACCATTGAAAAAATAAAAATAGAAACTAGAAGAGCATTTGGAGACAAAATTGCAAGTTACAGTGACAGGGGTGCAGTTAATAGCAGCAGAGACAACTACACTCTCCCTCTCCATTGTCATTGTGAACATGGTAAACACTACCTGCTAAACATCAGCATGTTAGCATTGTCACTGTGACCAAAAGCCCATGGCTGATGGATATTTGGGTATACTATGACTGATGGGGTTGAAAGCGTGTCAATGTATAATTATACAGGAATAAACATTCATGCTCAAATCTAACCCTACTGTTATTTTGAAACAAAAAATAAATGCTGTGTTAAGATTAAACATATATATATATATGTTTTCGAAATTTGTAAATAGTTTGTCTACTGTCATTAATATAAGGTGGACAGGTAGAAACCCATTTCAGTATAACTCAGTACAATTTAACAACACCAAAAAGTACCTCCTCCGAAATGATCATACTTCAAAACTCTCCAAAACAGTCAAGTTGAAGATTATAACCTTCATGAAGGCAGGATCTATTGCATGATTGTTGTATTGTACTGCATTTGTTTAAGCTAGGTGTACTTAATAAATTGGCAATTAAAGGTTCAGTTTGTAACATTGAGGAGGATATATTGGTAGAAATGGAATACAATATTCATAAGTATACCTTAAAATGCAGCATCATCTACAGAGGGAGCGGGTCCTCTTCTACAGAGTGAACCACCATGTTTGTACAGTAGTCCAGAATGGACAAACCAAACGCTGGCTCTAGACAGGGCCTTTTGTGTCATTGAGTTTTGTGGCCACTGTAGTTTCTCCTTGGGTGAATTAAACTATGTTGCAATCTGCAATCTCACCACTAGATGCAGCTAAATCCTATACACTGGTCCTTTAAGTGCTGTCCTGCATATCTATTGCAATTTTATTTGAAGTGATCTCATATAACACTCACTAAAGATGAGAGAGCAAGGGAATAAATCATGGTATATTGGAGAGTGTGGCTTGTGGAGTTTTGATGGACTCGGTATTGATCTGCAGCTGGCTAATTGTGCATTTTAAAAATGAGTAACTGAGTGATCAAATGGACCAACACACACACAGCCTTAACAAGGGTACCCTCCCAGATTAAGGTATCTGGGAGGGTCAATGCATTTGCTAAAATATAAAAAAAAGTTAATAAGTACTGAATATCTGCTGTATCTATTTTAAAATATTTGACTGATGACAAAACAAGTGCCACTAAACATAAAAACAACCCGGTCTCAATACGCACACCTTTAAGGTAGGTGTCAGGTTGCTCTGTGTGAAGATCTAAGATGTGCAAACACTGAGAGAACTAAGGCAGTTATTTTGGGAGGTAGTGTTTGTCTTAAATCCTCTTTCTGAATGTATCTGCCCATTTGCATAGGTCATGCTAAGTTCTATGAGAAGTAGTCTATGAGGAGTTACGTTGAAAAAGCCTGCGTTCCTTCCCTTGAAATGACAGCTTGACAGTTTTGAGAGTTTAGACTCAAGCACTCAAATTGCACTTAAGACTTCAATAAGAAAAGTGTTCTGTCTTCTTCCATCCATCCTACTCAGTCTGTACTTGAACTGTACCATTATGGAAGGTAATCCAGCTTGCTAA